GGGAGAGATGTACCCAAAGCTTGGTGCTCATTGTATGGCTGATCAAATGCTCTTCAAACTTAATAAGAGTCATTCCCTGATTTTATTAGGCTTTGCATTTGGTAGGGTTTTATGGCTGGAAATGAGGGCAGTGGAAGGTATTCAGGCAAGCCCATATTGCATCTTGGTGGGGTGAAAAACTTTCAGGGCTGTGTCCAAGACTTGTCCTGTGGTGAATTAAAATCTCCTTGGAAGGTGGCATAGCTCACTTGCAAGGGATCATGGTTTCCAGAGGGTTTAAAAGATGGTTTTGTGCTTTCTACAGGCAGTTATGGTCCTACAGACACTGATTTGATCAGCGATTGTGTTGGTGACATGCTTGGGTTTCTTTGGGGAGAAACAAAGAATTACAATGTTGGACTAGAATATCTGAAGGGAGCCTACAAAGATGCCGGAGAGGGACTCTTCAGTAGGGACTGCAGCAACAAGACAAGGACTAATGGGTTCAAACTTAACCAGGGGAAGTTCAGGTTGGATATAAGGAAGAAGCTCTTCCCTGTGAGGGTGGTGGGGCACTGAAAATGTTGTCCAGAGAAGCTGTGGCTGCCCCATCCCTGGCAGTGTTGAAGGCCAAGATGACAAGGCTTGGAGCAACCTGGTCTAGTGGAAGTCATCCCTGCCTATGGCAGGGTGTTGGAACTAGATGATCTTAAGGCCTTTTGCAACCCAAACAATTCTATGACTCTATGGCACCCCAGTGATAGCCAAGGGGGGAGTTTTTGTTTCTAATGACCCCATTATCTTATCCTGTGACCATCCCAACTACTGCTGGTTTGCACCCAGACCTCATCTGTGCCTGTGCAGATGTTGCTTGCACGTGTGCCTTGTGCTTGTCAATCAGAAGGCAAACTGCTACCTACACGTGATGTAATTAGTAGCCTTTGACGTCTTGAGATGCATCTTTTCAATTGGGTGTGTGCAGGTGTTCATCAATGGAGTTCAGTTTGAAGAGCGTGGCTCATGTAAAACATTAATGAGCATTTGTAAGGAGTTCTAAAAGGTCCTGGTATGAAGATGTTATTTAATGTCTCTGTCAGTGCTATTGTGTTATATATGGGTAAACATAGGTTTGCACAAACATGGCACCTGTGAGGACCATCTTAATTTATCAGTAGAGCAAAGCTGAGGTGTGGGGTGAGAATAGGCTATGTTTCAGGTCATGTCATGAGGGATGACTGTGGTTTAACAAAGTTAGAATCACATGATCATAGAATGGTTAGGGTTGGAAAGGACCTTAAGATCATCTAGTTCCAACCCCCAAGTTTAATGTTCTTGCCCCTTTTCCAGCTCAGAGTATCTATTTAGAAAAAGGCTCACTGAAAATAGTGGTTTAGCTCCTGGATATTACAAAACTAGTAAATATAATACAAGTGTGTCAATTATAAATGGGAATATATCTATAACCATGAATACTGACTCTTGTTGCAACCCCCTTTTTTTAGGACCAAATTATGGATACAGGCAGAAAGCTCAATGCTTCATCTTGATATCACATGTTAAGCAATAGCTGCTGCCATCTACTTCAAGGGAGAATATTGTTCCTGGTAGAATGCACTGTCCAATTAGTTGAGTTTAATTCAGAGGTAATGCTCAGAGGCAGGAGGTTTTTCATCCCTGCATTTACTTTGGTGTATTTGCCTGAGTGTGGCAGGTCATTGCTCTTCACCTTTCCAGCACATAGCTCATAATAAAACATGAGACCATCAACTGCTGGGTAATAATTCTTTGCAATGGAAAAATGGGTATTTATTCTCTGGTTTTCAGCATTCCTGGTGAATTTGTGGCTAATGGCTTAATGTTGATGTATGAGCTATCACACAAAACAATGAGAAGTATCAGGACCAGCTGAAAAGATTGGGAGGCCCCTGTTTCTGTAGCTGTTCAGATCTATAAAATTCAAAGCACCTAATGGAAGGTTAAGTTATGGGAAAGTGTGTAATTCTCTGCAGAATAATGTAGTGATGCTGCTGGTTTGAGGCTGGGCATGTAGGAAATTACAGGTTTGGTTAAATGTATAAGGCAACAGTTTTGGAGCTCTTCTATGGAGAACAGGCATCAAGGCTCACCTTTGGATGCTTGCAAGATGCCTCCAAGCCTGTCCTGATATTTGGTAAGGTGGGCATCAAGCTGCATAGCTGGTCATTCAGAAGTACAGTAGCTCTGGAAATTACTCATGGGACATCTGAAGCCTTGTTCATAAGAAAAAAACCACGCATCACAATAGTATAACACAATCTTTCAATGCAAAAATCTGTTCCACACTCTCAGTCACAAGTTCAGCTCTCCTGAAGCTGCTGTCTCTTCACAGGTTTGTGGTATTTAAGATAACTTGAGGATTAAATTGGAAAAACCTCAGTGTCTTCTCATGTCTGTATTCTTTGTTAGGAAATGAAACATGCTGAGCCTCTCAAGGTTACAGTCTGTTTAGCTGTAATATGGTAGTTATAAAGCTGATCACACATACCTGATTTGGGGGGAGAACCCAAGAGAAATGGATGAAGCTCTGAGCCTCAAATTACTTTCATACACTTTCCTAGTCAGCCTGGTGAAGAGAACACCTTTTTGGGCACAAAACCCTTATTAGCCAAAGACCATGTAATTGATGTAATTATTTCTAAGCTTCACTTGCTGTGGTGTGCACACTAACCTACACACATTTTCAGTTTTAAACTTCATTATTTGTTGTGGTGTTTCAGTGAGCTCAGGGATGGATTGACGTCCTGGTATTTGCTGTTTTGGCCAGTATAATCAAATGGATGTCTTCAGAGAGCTCCCTGCTTTTGTGGTGAGCTCTAGCTTGGTCCTTTAAGATTTTATACAGCTTTTCTACATATCCTTACAGATAGAGGACTGTTAAAGTCTTGAAGAATCTTAATGCATCGGTTAAATACAGAATAAATGTGTCCTATTAGCACTTCTGAGTGATTGAAGGTGTTGATGTCTCCATTCTTTCTATCTCGTGATGAATATGAAGATGGTTGGGTTTGTGTTTAGTATCTTGAGTTTTTTAGGTGTTGGGGTTTGATTCTTGAGCTTGTTTTAACGAGTAAATAGAGTTGACACGTGCACTGTTTAGTTTCCTTATGGACTCACTCTTTAGGTGCTGAGTTTTGGTTCACTGCTTGACTCATCACTTTTATTTCCTTGTCCTCTCTGGTAGTGAGCTGGCAGTTGTAATACTCTTGTTAAAAAAAATACATATGTCAACACCAGTTGTTCAGAACATTAATGAGCGTTTATGATGTGCTTTGAAATGCTCTCAGAAAGCTTTGACATGCCTGATGTCAGTGTTGTTAACCTTTGTGTTCAGATAAATGGATCTTGCAGTGACATTAACCCCAAGCAGTCTGGAGCAGAGAAGGCAACATACCCCAGCAGTGTGAGTTCTTCTCACATTGGGTTGAAGATAGTGACTTTTCAAGACAGAATTATTAATGTATTTCCAAAATAAGACTTAATACTTAATTTTATCTTCTGCTGGCTAACTTCAAGGTAGTAATTAGGTATTGAATTCCAATGTTTTTGAGCAATTACTGTAGGGGTAAGTTGCTACCCTGTCTAAGCTGAGATAAAGACGTATGTTGCAATTCACATGGTTATCTTCAATTACAGAAATGGCAGAGCCAATTTTCCAAAGGAATTACAGATATCTTGTGTCATCCTCAAACATAGTGACACTATGAAGATAAATCTCAGTATGCAATTAAAGTAAGAAAGAATCCCAGTCATTTCCCACTGCTGAGGTCTTGAGGTTTCTACTCAGCAGCAGCATGTAATGCTGTCCTTCAAATCACATTTTTGCTGCCAATCTGATAATATAGAAGATGTTTCCCTTGAGATTCCTTGGAATGAGGCAACTTAAGTTCTGCAGTGTTATCACCTACACTTCTAACTCTACAAAAGGAAGGCTTTTCCTTGCAAGAACATGCTGCTGGGAGGTAGGGAGAAGGCTTTGTGCGATTTAGTCTAATAGAAGAGCTCAACTCCTCTCTATTGCTACAGAAGTTTTGAAGTAAAATGAAGTATAAATCAGAATGAACAAGTTGCTACCCCTTATGGTCGGGAGGGAGTGTCTGTATGCCACACGCCATTGCCATTCTTGGCATCTGTTGACTCTACGGTTGAGTGTCAGAAGTCTTCCTCCTCATTCTGGTGTTTAACACGAATGATAACCCCACACTGGCAGTTGCAATTCATCAGCCATTGGGATTCAAAACTGCATCTTCCTCTCATTGTTCTGTATGTGCAATGTACTTTATTAGAATGGCTTTAAGTGCTTCTTTACTGAAGAAGCAACTCACTGAAAAAATTGCCTGACAAGGTCTTGCTTAAGTCACACCCTATTTACTGTAATTTTGCCATTCCTCTAATCAGGTCATGATTTATAGGTTCATATTATGAGACATTTAACTTCAGATAAATATGGCCTTAGCTTTTTTTCCCTTTTTTTTGGTGTGGCTAAAGCTTGCATGTTGAAGGAAACTCATGCTTGGTGTCTAATTGGAAGGGCTTCACTGACTTACTTGGATATAAAGCTCTATAAAGTTCAGGATTTCTGCAGGGTGCCAGAGCTTTGATTGGACTTTGCATTAGCCTCATTTCATCACGTGAACCTGTCTACCCCTAGGCTGATCACATGGGTTATCCCTTACTTTTGCAACTCCTTCTGGGCTGGATCAAGTATGTTTTCTTCCAAGAAAATGGGTATTTGTCACTTGTCCAGAAACAAGTCCATTCATCAGGCATAAACCATGAAAACATTTTATCTTTCTGCGAGGTGCAGGGCACAGTATCCCCTCTATATAAAGTTTTGAAAGAGCAGAGACCAGATGGCAGTAAAGTACAGGTCATATGGGGTAGGACAGACTAATAATTACAAAGAGCAATTTATTTAACATTCATTAACAAAGTTGAGTCTGAAAGAAATGTGTTTAGTAATCGATTAAAATGTTATTCACGTGGGTGATTCATGCTTTGGGCAGTTTAAGGGCAAGTATAAAAGTGCTCAGCAGCAGATCTTGTATAATCATTTCTCTTATTTCTCTTGTGAAGTAGGTAAGTTGCATCTAAATTCCTCTTTCTAACAAAGCTTTTTTTTTTGTAGTTATAAATTAAGATGAATCCTGTGCAAATGTTTTGATATCAGCCTCGACTTTTCTTGATGTGAATCAATACCTTTCTGATTGTTCAGCTATTGGCTTTGGTAAATGCGTATCTGGATGATGAGCTTTGATTAGTTTTTCATGAGAACTCATTTCCAGGTCTTATTCTGTTCAAGTACAAGATCTAAAAGAATCTTTTAGAAATTGAGCTATAAAATTCTGCCTTTCCCTCTAGCTTGTTTTTTGTCTTTTATTATAATGTTTCATTGTGAAACTTAACAGAACTTGTGCCTTCTTTTTATACTGTTTGCTTGCTCTTCAGATTAGCCACCCCTGAGCAATGGTGCACTCTCTAAGCCCATGCACTGATGGCAGTGCTTCTCCATGTGGGGTGGCTGTGCCACAGCCCGTTGCTGACAGCTGCAATGAGCCCTGTGTCCGTCAGTGTCCTGACTCCAGGGTGGTGATCTACCCTCCGCCGGTGGTTGTGACCTTCCCTGGACCCATCCTCAGCACCTTCCCTCAGCAGAGTGTCGTGGGATCTGCAGGAACCCCTGAAGTTGGAAGTGGATTTAGTGCTGCCCGTACTCCTGGGACCTCCCTTGTTTATGGTGGTGCCAGATGGGGACGGGGATACCCAATTGGAAACTGCAGACCATGCTAAACCTGCTGCTGCTGAAACACGAATATCCAGGACATGTCAAACAGGATGTAGATAATGTGGCTGAGCTCCAGGGCATGGCATTTAGGAAGGGCTGAGCCATTTGGAGTTGCCATTAAATACATCTGTAGATGCTCAGATCTTCTGAAATATCCATTTACATCCTTCTTGGATTACTTCTGCTGTTTTTCTAATACCTTCCTGTTTTTCTAAGTAAGTGCTCTGTTCTTGATGCTATGGGACTATATTGCTAATTCCTTGGGGGCTAATTCATTGTGGCAACGTAAAGGGAACTGGTATGTCATTCATTTTAGGTCCCTTTTTTCTGTGGCAATTGATGCATAAAAGAGAGTCATGGAGTCAACTAGTCTCTGATGCTGTGCTATATGTGTCTTGCTCTGATCAGGGCTGAGTATCAACCCAGAGCTGCAATAGGGAAGCACCACCAGTTATTACATGAATCATCTTGCATCAAACCACAGGTTGCAGGCAATTTGTAATCTGTACTATATAATCCTACCTCTGTATGATCTGCTTCTTTCATTAAACATGACATTGCAACATGTTACTGGCCTTGACGTGTGTGTGCCTGTCTATGTGTGTTACCCTCTGCTCCTCCTAATTCAGGTGTCTTTGTCCTGCTGCACCAAACTGATGCCATCAGTCTGCTTCAGGACAGTGATACTCTTGAGAGATTTGGCTGTGGGTTGTGTGTACAGCTCCTTCCCACAACAAGCTCCATGCTGTAGCTGTCCCTTCATGAAATTGCTGCCCAAATCTTTGCTTTCATTGCTCCAGGTCCTCCTCAATATTGGCTTTTCTGTAACAGTGCATGTTTCCTGGTGTCCTCAGGCTCAACCTTCCTGTCTAGGTGGTGACACAATGCATAAGAGCAGAGGTGTGTGGTATTAACAAGAATAATGTGAAACCACATGTTAGGTAGAAGTAGCTGGTTTTGAGTGTGTAAGTTGAATTTCTGGCTTTATTGCTCTGCTCAAGGTTCTACAACAATGTAAGCTATGCATATGAAAATGGAATGTGATGTTCATTCATGTAATTTCCAGTTTCTTCAGGAATACATCAATAGTAAACATTCCACAAGCTTCCCATGTGGCTGTATGTGTTTGAAATGTTATATAGTGTGTTAACACTTCGTTACAGAAACACTATAGTTCAGAATCTCAAGGTACCACGAGAATGTGGGTTTATTTCATAGTAGTCACTCTTTGGAGAATTATTATCCTTATGTGTAAGGAAAACAAAGTTGACCAGGCATTGTAATAATGTGTAATTGAGTGTTGGTGAGCTTTAGAAGAGGTGATTAAAACAGATTCTCACCAACCACATAAATACTTCCCTGCAAAAGCGAAATCCCCCAAACCTCAAAAGCCAGACAAAGGGATCTTCATTGTTATGTTAATGGCATATTTGAAATGAATTCAAGGTTATTACTGTGGCCTCCCCAGTTGCACTTTCCGTGTAGTAAGTTGAGACTTGCAGCTACCATGAAACCGCAAGTGCCAGTAAAATCAGGAAATTTTGCTGGTGGATTTCTATGGGACTATTTATAATACACCTTCTATTCAGTTTGATATAATAGCTGCTCATGTGAAATGCGTTGAGGCTTTCAGAAAACTGAAGACATCAATTATCTTATTAAGAAGCTACTAATGTCTTTTTAAGATAAAGGCATTTGTTAATGGCTTTAAGGTTCATTATGGCATTATGGGAGAAGGATATTAATCTAAATATGGTGAATTTTGAAATGCTTTTCATTTCTCTCATTGTAAGTCCAATTTTCCTATACCAAGGTGCACTTTCCCTTCTCTTAAAAGGTTTGGTGTAATATTACACTCGTAAAAGCTTCCAGTCCAGTTTGTGCAATAATCAGGAGCCAAATTTCTCATTTTGGGCTAAGTTTACTTTTTAAAAAGGATTCTCCCTCTTGCAGTGAATTTTTGTGCTGGAGGCCTGTTCTGCAGCATGCCTCATGTGTGGGTTGTTCACAAGGTGCATTTAACTCGGTAATTTCCCACATGCATGCAGTAAATACATCCTGTTCCTGACCAGCATTCAGAAGTTGAAATGAAATTACAGGAGTTAGTTTTCTGTTAGCTAAATTAACCATCCATCATCTAGTATGATAATATCAGGTACAGAGTTCCTCTAATCATTCACCTTTTCCTAAGCCTTAGGGCGTAAAACCTTACGAAACAGGGAAGATGCTCTTCACACACCACTGAATAGGAATACGAGAAAAACTCAAGAGTTTCTGAAGGTGTTAGGTTGGATCCATAGAAAATGGGCACCAGTGCTGTTGACTGATGGATGGGAGGGGCATGGAATGGTGTGGACCCCAACTCTGCAACGGTCTGTGACTCTTTGACTCATCCTGTCGTTTGAATGAATAGATTCTGTTTGGTAGCTAAAGGTCCCCATGGCAGGGGCACATGGGGTGAGAAGTTGGTTTCCTTCCCTGGTTGGTGGTTGGGCTCCAGTCTTTGCATAAGGCTGATCTGCAGCATGGCAGGAGATCCTGCCTGTGCTCTGGATCCTTGGAGTGAGGGGAGGGCTGAGGTTGCTTAGGTGGGAGGCAGCAGCAAGATGCACTGGGGCACTCCCAGTGCTGTGCAGGGAGATGGAGTCACAACTAGAGCAGTGGCATCTTCAAAACAGAAAGGGAAGCGAGGAGGTGGCAGGAGGCTCTGAGGCAGTGTGGCGGAGACTGGTGACAGGTCTGGGTAGGCTGGGCTTGGCAGTCAATTACAGCCTGTGGGCAATGTTCCCCAGGCACTGGGTGGTGATTGCACCTGCTGTCGGAAGTGGCAGTGCCTCTGGTAATGAAACAAGTGGGTTGTGGTTAAAGGAAGAGACATAAATACAGCTATGTTGGCAAACATGGATGGGGATGTTAAGCTGCGGCCAAAGGATCCTGGGCAGACTGAGGATTTCACTGAAATCCATGTGTTATTATCTTCTCTGCATGTCTGTGTCAGCCCTTCTGCACAGTATGTGCCAATGGGAAAAGCCTTGTGTGCTGGAGGGCATCCAAGGGAGATAAGCTGCATTTATTGTGCTGGGAGACTCTACCATTTCTTAATGTTTTCCCTGGGGAGCCCAGCCCTTTTTGCTGCTGACAGCAGCTAGCAGAAGGATTACAGAAAATGTCTTAATAGCTTTGCCAGTTTCAAAGGGTTGTACTGATTTACTGCCAATGTGCCCTGCTTAGGAGGGTAGGGTGGAGGTTGCTGCCCTCACCTTCTTCCTGGGGCATCCTGATTTGGCTCTGTCTTGCTCAGACTAGGGCTCAAAGAGATGAGCTCCAAGCAACAGGGCAGCAGACCAAGCTCATCTCTTGTCTGTGGCTGCTTCTTTCCCAGACAAGGAAATGGATCTTTGGGGCTCATCTGTTATAGTCCAGTTCAAGGTCAAAAGGTTTAAGTGAAAACAATGACATGGATATAAAGAAATGGACTTTGGACTGGAGGAATAGCATTTACAGCTCTCAGACTATCCTGCCTCCAGTTTTCTGCCTATGAAAGGGATTCTCTGATTTGCTCTCATAGCTTCTTGACCTCCACTTTGCTCTGTCAGCTGAGGAATGCAGAAATGCTTGTGTAGGTTCCCACCATGGGAAGCAAAGGGGTAGTCACACAGTGTCTCTCTTGAAAATCAGCCTAAAGGTAGCCCCCCTCACCACCACTTCTGCAACAGAAGTTTTGACTCCTGGTGATATCTTTGATGTGTAATTGGGCTTGCGTGGGATCCATGCAGTTTTGTCTAGGCTATGCTTGTTGAACCACCTTGTTCCGTCCCAGATTGTAATCTTTCATATTATAAATCTAAATCAAGACTACTCTAAGGTGACATGGTAGAGGTTGACAGGAACTCCCTGAATAACCTGGCTGTTCAGTTTGCAAAGGAGATGATCCCTCCAGCAGATGGCCATGGCTTGGTTGCCTTTGGTCTTTCCTCTTAGGCGTCTTTAACCTTGAGTGTCCTTGCTATCTTTCCTTAGCAGATCATGAGGCTTCCACTCAATCTCTTGCTTTAGAAAGGTAGTTTTCAAACGCAAAGCCCAGCTTGCGCCAGGAGTGTATGTGTTCAGTAATACAGAGCCAGGTGATGCCCTTTTCTGGAGAAATATTTGTGTAAACCCAGGGTCATGGGTTAGCTAAAATGAGGTTGGTTAGAGTGGCAGTGCTGCTGGTCTCTGTAGTGTGGCATATGAGCACAGACAAAAGGAGAAGACTGGACGTCTGATACTATTAAGAAGAGTAATTTTAATGAAAATGAAAAACACTGAGGAACTGAAAGAGTAAGTTTGCAGTTTTACAGAAGTGACTTCAGCAAGCAGAGTGTGTCTGATGTTGAATGATGTTTTCTCCTTGTGGAAACAGTGGAGTTCGACAGTCAAGACATGTTTCTTGCTTTCAGGATTGCTTATAAATTATGCCAGATGAGGAACAGCATGAATATGTAACATAGCTTCTCTCCTAGGTGTCATCTTTGGTGAAGTTTATAGCTGAACAAAGTGTACTTGCTCGTGGTGGTTGCAGAAACTCCTATTACTATCACAATACAAAGTGGCTGTGAATTAACTTAAAAAGCACTTTACTCACACCTGAAAATCTTGCTTTACGCCATCAACATGCTGTAAAGATGGCTCAGTGCTTGCTGTAATTTAAGTTGCCCTTTAGAGTAATAGTTGAAGAAATGGAAAATATTAGAAAGGGTTATATATAGCGTAGTCTTACGCAGCTTGGCACCCACATGTCCCATTGCACTCAGCCAGAGGTGTGGGTGCTCAGCGTTTCTCAGCATCATAACCTTAGCCATGAATCCGTGTCCTGCATTTCATGTCTCGATTGCTATTTCTGTTGGTTCAGCATAGACAGCAGTTTCAATAGAAGCATCTGCTTCCAAAGCGAGAAGAGAAGGGGTAACCGTACCCAAATCCGTGCAGGTCTCCAAAGCCCCCATCAAAACCCCCATAACCGATCAAGCCTCTGTTCCCATACAGCCTCCCAAAGCTTCTGTAGCCATATGGGCTGCCATAGCGGTAGTAACCATATGGGCTCCCATACAGGTAACCATTCAGGCCCCCAAAACCACAGAGGTCTTCATAGCCAAATCGTGAGTAGCACCCATCGTCATAGAGGTCCCTGAAGAAAGTCATTGTTTGTCGATGCAGGTAAACCTGAAACACACACCCAGAAGCAAGGTGACCTTGTGGGCTGCTGACAGCAGGAGGAAGGGCTCAAAGCTTGGGCAGAGCTGATGAAATTCAACTCGCTCCCTCTTGTAGGTCTTTTTCACCCTCTTAACCATCTGCCTTTTTTCCCCTTATCTGAATACCAAACAACACTTGAATGGCTGACTATCCATAGAAAATAGACTTTTTACCAACTGAAAATTGAACTTCTCCACCCCAGCAGTTAGGGAAATTTGAATAAATTTAAGAAAAATATACCAGTTCAGATCCTAATGCTTATTCAGATGAGACCAACAGCCTATCACATGCTCCCCTCATCACCTGTAAAGATGCGTGACACTCAACATGGGATAAACCTAAACAGTGCAATGGAGGAATTTCCTTCCTGGGTGTCTACTTAAAGTAGTAAATGTTTGACAAAGTTTTTATCTAGGGATTTGAATTCCCAACACCTAATAAAAAGAAGCTGGAACTGGAAATTACTTCTGACTTCAAAACTGTGGCAGTAAACTTCAAGTTTTCAATGTTCTAAAGCCTACTGTTAAATAAGCACAGGAAGAGCAAAAAAGTTTCAGTGAAGGAATTCTTTGATGTCACAGAGAATTCTGTGTTTGGGATTAGCTCCAAAATGACAAGAAATTGCTTAGGGTATCGTATGTATATATATATATGTTACATATATGTCACATATATATGTACACACCAGTATCTTATTTATATATATGTGCACCCTCACATATTCACATGTGCACCCTCAATTATTTCTACTAACATATAGACATATATAAATGCAACTATACATGCATCAGAAAGAGTATTGACTTACCTGGTTCACCAAGGGGAGTAGCTCAAGAGAAGTGAATAGCATTTCGGAGTTTTAGGTCCCTATATATACCCTCCTCAACTTAGGTGTTAGTTCTGCAACATATCTTCTTGCATGCATTATTCTTCCAATTGATGTAATTGGAGTCAGTGATTTTCATATTTTCAGAGTTTGATGTTATGACACATGTGTAATACCTATAGAATTTCTTTCATCTTAAAACAAGAAGAAACTGGGCTCAGCATATTTCTAGTAAAATTGCATGAAATTCTTTGTAGTTGGAGGGATAGAAATAATTTGGGGAGATGTTTAGACCATATCCATTTGCGCAATCTGCTTGTAGGTTCTCCAGTCACTTGGCTTTTACATCTATGGTGCAACATGTGGGGGAGAGAAGGATTAGGCTTTGGTGTGCCGAAGCATTGTAGTAGAGCTATTCAACAGCCTCATGACCTCTAGTACTATGCAGTGATACTGATGGGGAACTTTTGCCAGCAGCTTTGTTTGGGTTTTGTCCCAGTTTCTACAACAGTGATTTGGAAGAAATCTTTCAATTTCCTTCTGAATTTTCCCAAATTTTTATTCCTATTTTAGATTTTTCTAATAGTTTCTGAGTTTCGTGAAACATAAATGCATCACCTTATTAGGACTTCGACATAAAAGACCTTAATGTGTCTTGTGAGTGACCATATTATTAAATCTAGGGTGTCTTTCGGTGACAAACTATTAATATTTAAATACTGCAACACTTTGCAAATTGAGAACATCAATGAGTGTTTATGAAGTGCTTTGGTATTCAAAATTCTGAGGAAGCCTCAACATCCTGCTTGCTCATTATTGCCCTTATTTTATATTTAAATTAATGCCAGAAATTAGGTGAAGGTCATACAAGGATTTATGCAGTTAACTTCAGCGTTCCTCATTGTTGTAGTGGATTTGATACACGTGGTTGATTCTTTGCGAAGAAAATATTCATATGGCTCTTTGGAAAACAGAATTTAGTGCACCTCACAAAATCCTTATCATTTGTTATTTCCTAGCCCAAGTTCTTACTTGTATTCTCTACTTTGTTGTGCTGAACTTGAGGACAAGCCCTCCAGTGAACTACTGCAAACAATGCTGTAGTTGTCTTTCTGTCAAAACCATGTTTTCTGCTCATGCAGCAGCATGACTTTTCTTCCCCAGGAACTCTAGAGGAATGCAATTAAGATTCATTTGCAGGTCATGCTGGTCCAGCTTCCTGAAGTTTAATATAAAATACCTACCTTTATGTTTTCATTTCCTTTAAACATGCACCCTGGGCCATGGTGCATCAGAGTTTCCAGTGAACAACAGATTTTCAAACATGTGGGGAGATTGTATTTCTTCCCTGAGAAATTCTTTCTCTTTGGGCACTTAGAAATGCTTTTAAATGATACACAAATAAACTTCAGTTTTGACAGTGAAGACTATAAAATGGTATCAGGAATGTAGTTGGCCAAGAAAATTTTAAGATGAAAGAAACCTGTAATACATGTGACATATGGGAGGCTGGGAACACACTAATAATCCCAAACAATGGAGAAAATTATATTAATTGAAGATATGACGTGTACAGACAAATTTGTTTTCCAGCCAATAAGACTACAAACCTTTTGAATACACAGGGCGTCTAAGATAAGCCAGGCAGGCAAAGAGACAGTATAAAAAGGGCTCAGAGCTCTAGGCTCCTCATCAGCTCTCTTGCCTTCCTCCTCCTGGTGAACTCGGTAAGCCTTCTCTCCATTCATATTCTTCATCAGAATTAGAAATTTATAAATAATTTATGTTAGGATTGTGGTTTCTCTGTAAGTTAACATTTCTCAGTACCTTGTGTCTGTGCTTATGCATTGGTGGGTTCAAGTTTTAAAGATGGGGCTGAATCTTTCCTGGTGCTGTTGGTAACTGGGTACCTGGCTCCATGATGAGGATTGCTGGTTACTAGGTCTGCAGATGCAGAGAAGGGTTTCTCCACCATAGCCCTCAGAGAGGTCTTCCATAAATCTTCTATTCCATTTTAAGGGAGGTCTTTAGGTCTGTTTGGCAGGACAGCACATGTTCACATGTGTGCTAACGCTCCATGGTTTCTTGCATGTGCTGTCAGCATTCCCAGATTCCAATCAAAATTGGTGTAAATTACAGAAATGGGACCTTCTACTTTCAACCCTGCTGCAATCATAGAATCATAGAACCAGCTAGGTTGGAAAGAACACCAAGACCAACCTTTACCTCAGGATTAAACCAAAAGCTTAAGTGTGTTATCATGACAAGCATTAGACACTTCAAGCTTTCTTGAAGAGTTTCTTGAAGGATTTGGGAATGTAGAGCTCTATCCAAAGCCGATATCCTGAAAGAAATTTAGGATTATTAACTCCTAACAGTATTCTTTGAGTAAAATCCTGAAACAGCAGCAAAGAACTTTTGGTCTGTAACAGGTGTATGCTGTAGCCAATGTTTCACAAATCTCAGTGACAAAAGACATAAACCCCATTGCTCCAAAAGAGTAGTAAAATGACAGAATGATAGAAATGGGATGTAATAAGGAGAATAAGGATTTGAGGAATTTTGTGATGATTTTGTTTCTGTCCTTGGTCATACATGGCCAGTCTTTTGGCTCTGAGACTGTTCCTGCCACTGTAGTAATCATTATTTTTGCTTTCCTCCCTGTTGCTGTATTTCAGGTTTGCCTCCATCGCAGAAAGATGACTTTCTTCCAAAACCAGTGTGAGGATGACTGCTATTCTCCCTGCAATTATGGGAGCCTGTACAGCTACCGCAGCTACGACTGTGGGAGTCCCTGCGGATACAGGGGCTATGGCGGCCTCTACGGCTACCGAGGCCTCTATGGCTTTGGGGACCGGTATGGCTGTGGTGGTCTCTACGGTTACCGGGGCATTTATGGCTCTGGGGACTACTATGGCTCTGGAGGTCTGTATGGAGGCTATAGGGGCTACTATGGCTTTGGAGACTGCTACGGCTACCCAGGCTTCTATTCCGGCCGCTATGGCTACCCCTTTGGTTCACGATATGGCCTGAGGTACGGCTACGGGAGCTGCTAAACCCAGCCAGAACATCCCTGAAGTGAAGATCAACTCAGGCCCAGCAAGCACGGACTGATGGCGAATCTTGACAGCAGTGGTCACTGGTGTGCAGAGCCCTGGTGACAGCAGCCACCCAGCCTTCATGGAGGCTTCGAGTGTTCTGCGCTGCTGTTGAAGTGCTTGCGATAATTTATCTTCTGCTCTGTGCCTGCTTGCTCTCTTGCCACCCAAACCCTCTTCTTGATCAAAAGCTTGCTTCTGCAGTTCTTTGTGAACTGCTTTTCATGTTTGTTGCTGTGATGTACACAAAACCTTAATGCTGATTAAATGGAATCAGCAGGGTGTAATGTGTCTTCGGGAACGTGGTCTTTCAGTTCTGTATGCCTTTGAAAGTCTATCTGCCTTTCACTCACATTAAAAATTATGCTGCATCAATACTGCATCTGTGGTTTTATTCTTCACCTGCATGCCTCAAATACCTTTAAATCAATAGCATCAAACAGATTGTGTGACAAAGTTATTAACTTTGCATATTCAGGGATTTGCTTGTAGAGACTTGCCCTCCTCAAGCCTGGAAAGATGGACTTCTGTAGCTGCAGGAACCTTCAGCTGTACCTCTGGTTATACATGTTTCTGCAATTCCAGGCTTTGGCTTGGTGAATTCCAAATAAGTGGTTCATTTAAACTACTTCATTGTTGCTGCTGGGGTAATGTCATGTGGTTCGGACATGATCCATCACTGGCTGCGATCTGCAAATGCGTGGACTCATCAGGTTTTACATTTTGAAATAAGTCTGTATTTCATATATTATCATAGAATCATTAAAGAGCCCAGGTTGGAAGGGACTTGGAAAGATCAGGGTTGAAAGATTAGGGACTCCCTGATGAAAAAGGGGGAGGAATTTTCCCTTTGCAGTGTATAGAGTTTCGTAGGATAATGGAAATCCTTTGGCCAGCACATCTGATGCATATTTTTGTCTGTCAGTTCAGGGAAGTACACTCGGAGCCCACAGTTTGGAAGGAGGCAAAATTACAACTGATTTTTACTGACTTTTTTCCTTTCTCCCACTGAATATTGTAGGCAGATGCTATAGAACCTCTGGGTTCACAACTGAGAGGCTGTGGCTGCATTAGGAGGAAGATGACGTGACGGCACTTTCTCATTGCTTCTGTGCCTGGAGGCAGCTACCAAAACACCCTGGAGACATTGAATACTGTTTCACTTGATTTTATTTTTTAAGAACTCGTTGCCTCTTTTTTTTCCACACTTTTCTTTCTGTCTTTTAGCTTTTAGTCCCCAGATTTAGTAAATTCTTATAACTGTAGAACTGGATTTTGTTGTACCCAGTGTCTGTGTGAAATATGATAGGAAATTGTGACTCTAGAGCAAGAACATTTAAATTGCCAGGAATAGGACAATATTCTGCTCACTTGAACATTTTTATATACTCTCTATACAGGCTTGTGACTAATTCTCCATTTTAAAACATTATTATAAAGACTATTGCAGTCCTATTTTGCTGAAATATGTTAACCTTAAATCTGGTAATAGTTTCAATTAAGTAAAGGGAGAAGTTGTGACATTTCTTAAATTTCTGAGGGGTAAAAGGGAAGAAAAGGGTATATTTACTGGGACCAACTGCTCTGGAGGTGGAGGACTATGAAATGCTTTGCCAGAATTAGGAATACAAAGTCCCTTCAGGATGCTACCACACTCAGTATATCCATGTAAACTAGAGACAGGAAAGAAGACAACTGGAATTTCGTATTTTTTTTTAATGCAGAAAGAGTTTAATGCAATAAGAAAGGAGTTGGCACAGATACAGAAAGATTATAGTTTTGGGATACTGGAAAGAGCTATGGAAGATGAGTCATTGCACTATGCTACCCAGAACATTCTTTTTGTTGAAGCTGTGTTGTTCATCCCTTAGGTACTTGTAAATCCAGATCAAAGAAGAGACAGCTGTAATATGATTACACAGTCCTGCAGCACCTCACTGGAAGTAGTTATTGAAAATGCAGATGACACAAAAGCTAATTTTGCAAAGTCCTTTAACACCACTGCAGCAACTGTAAGAAGCTTCAAATGAACTGCAGATTGTTGTTCCCGTTGCTGAAGAGTTTAAAATAGGGTATCTGTCCAAAAGGGTTTAAATGCAGAATATCAAGAGATAACTCCTAGTTGTGAAAGACAGGAAGAAGCAGACAAAAAGAGCAAAAATAAAAATGCCAAAAAATGTTAGAGAGCAGCCAAGCTCCTCGTTCTCAGTAACTTCAGTTGCTGCCACAGGGGCTCAGTGCTTCCGTAAGCATTGCCTCTGACATTAGCCATTCTTTGTTGCTTGCTGGGTCGGGGTTGATTCTTGTTTCAGGGGTATTGCCACTGGGTTTAACAACAGGGGTAGCAGCACCTGTAGGTGTAGTTGCAGCAGGAAGGGTAATAGTATCTGGTGGTACATGTGCCGTAGCTGCAGGAGTTTGCGCAGCTGTATCTGCGCCGGTAGCTGCACAGGGTCCGGTAGCTGCAGGGGTTGCAGCAGCTGTAGGTCCGGGAGCAGCGCACAGTCCTGTAGCAGGGGGAGTAGCAGACGCTGTAGCACGGGTACATGTAGCAGCAAGACATCTTGGTGTGGTGGAGGGGAGCAGGCAAACTGAAAGAGAGAGGGAGGTGAGGGGTAGGATCAGCTTGCAGGGAGCTGCAGAAGTAGTGGCTTGGTGGCAAGAGTACCCAACCCCCTTTCTATGCTCCCTTCTTGTTAAATCTTACTGTGAGAGACAGTTTCTTTAGTTTCTCCTCTTAAAAGTGAATATAATACCCTCTTTTTGGACTTTGGACACAGGAGATTCAGCTTGCAGATATACATCCAAATATACATGCTTTGGTATCCAGGCTCCCAGCACAGGCTGCTGAGGTCAATCATGATAAGTTCATTAAAGACAGCCTCCTTGTCTGGTTTTAATCTTGTTATGTAAAATATTCATTTTCCTGTGCAACCTTGGCTTTGCTAGTGCCAGCTCTAGCAAGGATACTGAAAATACTCTGCTGGGCAGAAAAGATGTAATGTTTAAGTCCTGTATTGCCACAGATTACAGCTGCTCCAGTGACTTTAGAGAGACTAAAGCAGTTCATGTAACTTACTCATATTCATTATTGCAACATCTTTCCATCCAAAAGCCATTTCCGCTTTGCATAATACACAATTCTGCCCATGAACCAAATTTCAGTTTAAAAAGCTAAAGCAATAGAGCTGCTGCTTTCTCTTATGTGAAGACAAACTTCTCACCATGCTTCACATCTTACCAATGATATCTGAAAATTCATTCATCAGTGTCCCCAGCTTTTTTTACTGTACAGATTAAAAACATACAGGATAAAATACTTCCACCACTGTCACGTATGAGAGAATGTTAGTAAAGGAATCATTCCCAAGTCAAAGGAATCTCTGTGAGAACAGGATCTGAACTTACCGAGTTCACTGAAGAGGGTAAACCAAGAGGAGCGCTGGGAAGAGTGTGGGGTTGTGAGCACTTTTATACAGTTTCTTGGACCTGTGGAAGTCAGTGCAATTCCTTGTGTGCTTCCACTACCTGTTAGTCACAAAACACATTTCGGAAGTACATCACCAGTGCAATTGCTATAATTGTTTTCCTCCACATTTAGGTCAATTTTCAAATTCCTCTGGTAGCACATTGTGATTATGCCTTGGGATGCTCTTTCATCTTAAAACTTTCCAGGAGAAATGGATTTCTAGGAATTCACCCAAAGGACATTTGGGAATGAAGCTGGAATACATGGAACTGGAATACATGGAACACTTCCATCCACACTGCCTGTTTGGCTGGGGAGTCAGTAGACTGTTTCTTTGTTATGCACCTACAAAAGACATGGATACTGCACATTGTGGGGTTGTGTAAAATACCTGGCCAGGAAAGAGGCATTACACTATGTGCTTGGGGCTTTTCCCAACCATTTTGATTCATTTCCGTCACAATTAATAACAGGCGTTCCATTGATTCCTTTAGGTTCTGCTATTGTCTATAATTTGCTATACACACTATGAGAAGTCTAGGCCAAGGCACAGGATCAATCACGTGAATATCTGAGCAATGTGCCTGAGACTTGCTGTCTGGTTTATTTTGCCTTTTGTCTTTTTCTTTTCTGGATGAAATCATTGGAAAATACTTTTTGAATCAGTATCTTGTAATATCACATGCACATGATGTTTACTATATATTATGTATTTATTATATAAATAACATATATTTATTATAGACCTCATAGGAGACTTCGAATATCTGAAGGAGACTTACAAGGGTGCTGGAGGCGGACTCTTCATCAGGGGCTGTAGCAATAGGACAAAGGTTAATGGATTAAAGCTTAAATAGGGGGAATTCGGTTTAGATATAAGGAATAAGTTCTTCCCTGTGAGGGTGCTAAGGTACTGACACAGGGTGCCCAGAGAAGCTGTGGCTGCCCCATCCCTGGCAGTGCTTGAGGCCAGGTTGGATGGGGCAACCTGGTCTAGTGGGAGGTGTCCCTGCCCATGGCAGGGAGTTGGAAATGAATGAGCTTTAAGGTCCTTTCCAACTCAAACCATTTGATGTTCCTATGATTTATACGGTGTATATGTATATGGGATGCATAAATGCATATAGTATAATGGGGCAGTATCACTTCAGGTTCTGGTGGTGTAGAAAAATCTGGGTTTTCTTTTGGTCTACCACAGGGACTGCAGTAAAGAAAAGAACAGCCTTTTAAGACTTTTAGGAAGGCTGTGGAAGTTTTCCAGTAGGGTGGAGACCATGTGCTCCTGATGGAAAGCATTTGCTGGGGAGGGTGGATGTACACCCTATAGCAGTGAGTGGTCCTATGAAGTCTCATGCTTTGCAATGGGCTTTAGTATAATAAAAAGGTTTATGAAGCGCTCTAAGTTGCCCACTGCAGAATGATTTTATGTAAGCCAGGAATGGTGAAATCACTGCTGTTTTTTTTTTGTGGTGGTGTTATCCAGCCAATTACCATGAGGGTAGTGAGGCCCTGGCACAGGATGCCCAGAGAAGCTGTGACTGCCCCATCCCTAGCAGTGGTCAAGGCCAGGTTGTACAGGGCTTGAAGCAACCTTGTCTAGTGTTAGGTGTCCCTGCCCGTGGCAGGGGGCTGGAACTGGATGAGCTCTAAGGCCCCTTCAATGCAAAGCAGTCTGTGATGTGATGAGATACGGCTGTATCTCTGCCTACATCAAGTGAGGACGGTGACTGTAATGCCTTAGTTTTAATAAAAAGAAACAGTGCTTAGCCCAGGGGTTCCCTCGTTGTTTATTGTTCAACATCAAGGCACTTTTCATCAACAATCCATTAATATTTGGATAATACAAACATTTCTAAAGTAAGTTTTAATGACTGTTTTGGAAAAGCATTGATACCATAAATTCTGATGAGGCTCAGCACTTCTTGAATGTCTGTTATTATCCTCATTTAATATGCAAATGGGGAATGGCTCATTGCAGTGAAGGTCACGCAAGGAGGTATTTGTTGAGTTAAAATAAAGGGCTCTTGACTTTAGGTTTTATGCCCTGCTGCCTTTGGGAAGCTGGTGTTTGATGAGGTTGAAAACCAGCATCAGTAAGATTTGTTGTAAAAGAATATGTGTAATTTTAACTTCTCAATATTCTGATAACATCAGTGTCACAGAATTTAATTTACATTTGCTTTGGTGATATCCTCAAAGAGTTTTATTATGGTATGAGCAGATGCAATGACAAGGTATAGACTCTCTGATTAATTCTTCCTCCTTCCTATTAATATATGTTTGAAATTGTTACCCAAATGAATGCTGAAGTTCTATAAGTTCCCTGTGTTTTGATAGTGAACCAAGCTGAAAGGAAATACTAAAAATATAAAACAAAAAGGATTTTAGAGGAAGAGGAGGAAATACCTATTTTTTTTTCTCAGATACAAACCTCAGTTTGAGAGGTGCAAGTAAGAGGCAAAGTGGCATAAAATGCTTCTACATCCTCTATTAATCTATGATTGGGCTTTTTCATTCTATGAGGAAGAAGGGGTGCACTAGGGTCTATTTTTAAATGTATATTAGATAGAAGTAAATGTATGGAACTTTTCCTCCTAGGAAATGCTGACATAATTCAGGTTGCATACATTTTTAGTATGTCAAAAAGACCCCAAATAGATGATTTTTTATTCTCAGCCATCTCTATCTTGAGGATCTGTCATTCTCTTGCCCATTTTGGTATCTTGATTGGATAATTAGAAGTGAGGATTACCCAAAAAGTTTTTAAGATGAAACAAGCCCGTAACTTTTGCATCATCAAGATGAGAAATAATGATCCCTGACGTTGAAGAAACCAATTATATTAACTCAAGTTGTGACGTGTACAGAAAAATTTAGTGTTGCTATTTGCACAGTTCAGAAGATCATAATTTTGGAGTGACCAAGAAACCTGTTGCGTTGTGGCTGAGGTCAGCTCCCTCACAAACACCTGAGGAGCACTGGAATGGACATTAATTGCCCTGGAATACTTAAACACATATATGAGGTTTTCCAAAGTTATCCAAGTGCTCAAAATTCATGGAATATTTTGATGTCCCTAATATTGAAAATCAGAAACTTAGCTTAGGAAGTGTCAGTTCAATAGTGCCTAAACTTCTGTATCTACAAATCAAAGTAATATAGAGAAGTGCCCTAAACAGACTTCAGGACATGCAGCACTGTTCAATCAGTAACTGGAAATGCAACTCATAAAAAATCTTGGTAATTATAGAAAGATGGAGTCAAATTCACAGAGGGAAACATATTAAGACGTTCAGTGAAGAGCTGTGATTCACAAGAACATTACAGGTTTAAGTGTCTTAATTGCTATCAGATTTCAATTGCTTTTTGCTTTTTTCATTTCTCAAACAATTTCTCCTATGTTATGCCTTCGTTTGATGTATTTTTCCAGGTGGACTGTGCTAGATTTTACACCAGAACTAACATAAATATTTAAAAAATTGTATTAAAAAGAACTTTTGAAAAAGTTAATGGACAATGTTAGCATTTTCTTTCAAGAGATATGTTTCTATTTTTTCTTTAACTCTTATTATATTAAATGCATATTTATTTCATCTCCTACCATGTCAGTAATAAGCTTATCTAGAAATAATATATGTAATTATATAGCAATAAGACACGTAATTCTAAATACATGCAAATAGGCTATATTTGTGTGTGTTTTGGAAATCTCCATGATTTCCTGAGTTGTGATCCACTTTTCCCCATTTCTTCTGACAACATGTTGTGACTTACAATATTTATTTAAAAAAGTCTAGTAATTTATTTTTTTTTAATAATGAATGGCATTTCACAGAAATTTGCATTTTTTTTATTATGAACAGAACTTAAACCTGAATATTTTGAATAAGATAAAAAGGAATTAAAAAACAATTACCAATTGCTTTGTTACTCTGAAATAGAGAAGTCTATGATATGATGTATCAACTGATAACTTTTCTTTAAGTTTTAAAACAAATCTATGCATAAGCCACAGTTGCTTTTAAATAATAATAAAAAAACCCAACAAAAACCTTCAGATGCCAAATTTGCACTTCATGACCAGTTGAGGGAAACCTTGATTTGCATTTTTAGATTGTTAGAAGAAAATATTTCCAGTAAAAGGAAATTAATGTAACAGTTGAGCACAGTGAATATAAAAAGCCTTTGTTTTAGTAGGTAATTTGACCAAAGTAAGTTTTCAGATGTACCAGCTACTGTAGAACAGAATGGTGAATTTTCAAATCATGGTTTGATGCTTGTTTCTGGCAGCTCACCCAGGAGTTCTGGGTTTGTTTTCTTCAGGTTTCTCTTACACAGCCTCCTCTCCAACCTCTTGAATAATCTGTTGAATAAGTGTTTAGGTTTTGCTTCATTTCTATGCTCTGCTTTTACATGGATGCAAATTCACATGAACCTCGCTTCTGCTGGGAATTGATGGTAACTGGCACTTACAGGATGAGGAAGGAAACCCTATAGCAATCCCATTCCTTGCAGTCTACCCACCAGAGAAAGTCAGCGTCACAGTCTGTAATTGTGCCTCCTACATGCAGACCAGTGTTAGCTGAAGAACTGAAGCTCCTGCAGACCAGGAGAAGGAGCATTTCCTGTTGGAAATCGCTTGCAAAAGTCAGTATTCTGGTGGCTCCAGATGGCTTCTGCCTGAGAGTCCTGGTAGGTTCACCCCCTTGTCATCAAGCTGGTAGCCACTTTTGCTTTAAGCAACTCTTCCCTATCACATCCTGTTTGTAATTACGGGGAAGAAGAGGCTTCCCCTCCAAGCCTCTCCTTATCTGGAATCTGCATGCTTCTGCTCTTCCTTTGTAGAACAGTTTTTGCTGATGGTGAAGGCTGGCAGATGATTACAGGATGCATGCCAGAAAGTCAGCCCAGCCAGGGCAGTAATAGGAAGGACTAGGCTCACAGCTCATTCACACGACATCATACAGTCATTTAATCCTAGAATGGTTTGCCTTAGAAGGGACCTTAAAGCTCCATGTCCTTATTATTAGGTTGTGAATGCTCTGTCCCTGGCAGTGTTCAAGACCAGGTTGGACAAAGCCTTGGGTGAAATGGTTTAGTGTGAGGTGTCCCTGCCCATGGCAGGGGGGTTGGAACTAGATGATCTTAAGGTCCTATCCAACCCTAACTATTCTATGATTGTATGCTGATGCCCCAGAGCTCGAAGTAGAACTGCAGGTGTATGTGTGTGTGTGTCTCACCAGAGTGGAGTAGAGGAGGGGAATCCAACTCCTCAACCTGCTGCTTATGCTGCTGGGGATGCAGCCTGACTGTGCAAAGTAACCTCTGGTGGAGAAATAGCAATATTGAAACCTTGAAACACATTGGGAAGAGATGAATGTGAGATTGTGTGTGTTCTCGTATTAGGTACCTACTTCAGAGCTGCAGATAGCAGACATATTTCAGCATTTTGGTTCTCAGTGCATTTTGGATCCTCAAATGTATCATAACTTGGGCTGGAATGTAGTCGGTAAGCACTGATTCAGTTTTCTTAAATCTTTTTATTTCTAAGCTAGTATTTTGGAAATGAACAGTGTTTTGGTGTGTTTGGTGGAAGAGGGGCAGAATTAGGACATGGCAGACATGAGATTTTAGGACTGTCCTGGAGGAGACAGAAATTAAAGTGCTCAGTACATCCTCTGTCACCTCAGATTTTACGGGATGCTTAAAACTGCAGATGTGAGAAGCTTGTGCCTCCTTTTTTTGCCATGTTTCAGGTAAATAATTAGCAAAGTCAAACATAAAAGAAAAACATAATACAAAAAGCAGTATTGTGATGCAAGATCTTTTAATGAGAGTAAGAAGCAGTTACAGCTTGTAGTAGTAGAGAAGAGAAGCATTCAGGGATTCACACATCCTTTAAACAGTCACAAGATTGCACAGTAGATGCTTTTGGGACTACGGTGGTGTTTGGTGAGGAGCAGAGCTGTCAGCACATTATATGGCAAGACGAGGTGTCTTCTCCTCTCTGCATCTTCTGTTGTAAAGCTACACATCAAACTACACAGTACATCCAAAGGTTATGAAGGAAGAGGTCACCCTAATAGCAAGTTACTCAAAGTAGCTGCAGACACTGAAGAGAGGTGCTAAGCACTCAGGACCATTCCTGACTGCAGTTGCTGTCACAGAAGCTTAGCAAAGGTAAAATTCATACGTTACTATTTTGCCTTTCATTTCCTATCTGGTTGTTCTACAGCTGGGTTTAGCAGGGGTAGCAGCTCCCATAGTTGTATCTACGGATGTAGCGAGAAGAGTAGGGGTAGCAGTAGCGAGAGCTGTAGGAGGGGTAGCAGTCACGGTAACCACACAGACTCCCATAGCTCTGGTAGCCACAGGGGCTCCCACAGTCGTAGGTCCGGTAGCTGCAGGGGCTTCCACAGCCGTAGGTCCTGTAGGTGTACACAGTCCCGTAGTTGCAGGGTGAGTAGCAGGAATCCTCACACTGGGTCTGGTAGCAGAAAGTCATCTTGGTGTGATGAATGGGGAGGCAAGTCTGAAACACAGCAGAAGAGAAGATAAGGTCTGACCCAGAGATCAAGTGGATGCTTGCTGCTTGAGAAAAAACTATGTAAGTATAAGAAAGAGGGAGGAAGGAAGTGCGAACATGGGAACCAGTCCAACACCTCCATTCAAAGCTATACCCTGACTCCTTGCCCAGCTCACTTCATTCTTGTTTTCCCCCTTGTTTTTGCCATAAAAATATTTTATGCTGCTTGTTACTATTGCTTAGATTTGGCAGTCTGTTTTCAAATGGTGTATGAGATAGGATCTTGTTAGGATTAGATTGTATCAGTGTCTGATGCTTCTCTAAAAACCATCAGTGAACAGACACTAGATCAGGAATGAATTCTGCCAGTTCTTGCATTGAGACAAGACACCACATAACAAATCCTCTTCTTGTACAAAGCTCTGCTGAAAAAAGCAGCTTGTTTGTTTGAACCCGTGTTCATGCCTTAATTGCCAGTAATATACTTACTTTTTGTTCAAAATAATGAAAAATATGTAATACATTTTCTGCTTCATAATAAAGAAGCCTCAAAGGCTTCAATATATCATAAATAAAGACAATTTCTCACAGTGCATCGCTAGATGACACAATCTTCTAAGCTTATGTAGGCATATATCCCATTTTAAGCAAAATGAATTGTGCTTGCTGTGAAATCACAGCCTTTTCTGGGAAAAGCCTTTGCTTTTAAAGCATAAGTGCTGTCTGTATAGCAATATAGTAAAAACACAGCATCTACACAGAAATAAAGACATTGTAGTAAGCCCGACTTACCAAGTTCAGTGAGAACGTAAGTCCGAAGATGCTTGTAGAGAGTGTTGAACTTCTCTCCCTTTTATATATTTATCTGACCAAGCCTACTGTGCTTTAAACTCCTATTCATCACAAAACAAATTTACTTATGCACGTCATTCCTTCAGTTGATGTAATTGTTTTCCTTGGTTTGTGATCATTAGTCAGTTCTTGGCTTCCAAAAGTATGACATTGCATTGCAGTTTTCTTTCATGTTCGGACTTCCTGGGTGAATTATATTTGTAGAATTAGTGTGGTGAAATCTGAGTTATAACAGGAAAGGGAAGGAAGGATATTGAGAGCAGAATTGATTGATGTTCTCAATCCCCATTTTAGAGGAATGGATGAATTTCAGTGTATGAAGCCTGCAACGACTCTGGATTGGTTTGAGGAAGGAGGAATTTTAGTGCTTTTTTCCCCTGAAATAATAATCTCTAGAAAGCATTTATTGTTTGGTTGTTCTTTTTTTTTTTTTTCCTTTTTTTTTTTAATTTCAAAATTGCCTTTTTAGGTCAGAATATTAGGAGTATTTGTATTTATAATATAATTTGTGTTATATGCAATTCAATAACAGAAGTACAAGAAAGGTGGTTGTATTAGAGGACACGTCTGGTCTGTACCTTGCTGCAATCAGATATGCATGGATATGTTAACTGTTTATTGTGACGTTCACAGGAAGGTCATGTAGATTTGCCTGCTAGCAATGCTCTATCAATCACTTTTACCAAACTTCAACAGCCAACTCCTTTGTCTGCATAGAAGGAAACTGGGGTCCTTTTTGGTGTAAGAATGGTGGAAATAGATCTGAGTAAATTAGAGTCACTGACAAGACTTTAGGAAAACCCTGAAGCAGGTAACAGTAAATAATCAATCTAAAGGATATATGAAATTTTAAATTGCATAATATATTAAATAAACTGACAAATTCAGGCTCCTAGAGAGTCAATGCAATCTAGGCAAATTTTATGGATCCAAAAAAATCTCCTTAGAGATTGTTTATGCTTAGATCAGAAATGATTCACTCAGGGGTTCATTACAAAAGAACAAGATAAGCCAAACAGGAACATATATGTGTAATAACTGAAGTTTTCCTAAGGAGTCCCCCAGCTGCTAAATATAGTTTAACATGACATTTTCCCGATGTTGTTGAGGTGTTTAACTTAATGTTGCTAATGATGGTGAATAATGCTGAGCCCTGTGGATGTGACCTGGTAAAGCAGCAACATCCCGGTCTTCCCTGGTGACCTTCACCTCAAAACACTTCTGTTTACTTGCATCTAAGGGAAGGATAATAACAGACATGTCAGACGTTCAGGGCCTTTCTCAAATTTTTGAATATCAAAGCCTTCATTAATACTTATTAAAGATTCACACGTACAAAGAGATTTATTATTTAAATATTAATACTACGTTAGTGGAAAACGCCCCAGCATTATGTAACACAGTTTCTAAAAACGTGTATCACGTTATTCTGTTTCTAGGCTTTATTAAGGATGTAATTTATAGCTGGAGAATTGAGTCTTGGAAAGGTGTTTTCTCGGAAAATACGTCATATACATGCCTTTTTAATGCTTCTACACCAATTTTCTAGCTGAATCAGTGAGCACAGCAATATCATATTCCATGACAGCATCAGTGCAAAGGTCTTACCCACTTTGCTAGTCACAGGAAATGTTGGAAGGGATTGGTAGGAACGTGCTGTTTCATGCACCATTACAGTTATGAAATACATGAAAATGAGAGGCTCCCCCTTCCACAAGTATTTCAGGAAAAAAAACTGCACCAAAAAGCACATGGAACAACATGCACAGTGAGGCCAGTCCACCAAAAATGATGTTTGGCAATTTATACATCTTTGCATATGTTGCTGGACTGAAGAAGTGAATTCAGCACGATGATACCAAGGCTTAATTGCCCTGGTAGTTTTGAGATGAAAGAAACCTGGAGGGTGTAACCTGTATGTCACAGTGCTGGACCAATAATCAGAAACCCTGGGGAGAACCGGTATATCAATGAGAAGGAGTCATGAGGGAAGCAAAATGTGTTTGGTAATTGGACCCTTTCATGCATGGGGCGGGACTAGGAGCTCTATAAAAACCCCAAACCACTGAGGATAATGCATTCGCTTCTCCTGCCTTATTCTCACTGCAGAGTGGGTAAGTTGGAATAGATTTAGGAAACCTAGTGAATAATGATACAATTTTCCCTCTCTTCCCCCCCTTCCAGTTACTAATCTATGAGTATTGTAGATTAATTCACTGGGAATTAGGGTTGTGATTTGATGAGAATTATTTATATGTAATATATTCTTTCCTGCATGGATTTTCTTTGGTATTTCAGAGTTTGAAACTGACAATTTTGTACATAACCCTCTTTTCCATTTAAGTCTTCATCTCACTACAGCTATAAAGGATTTTCCAGTTTATTTCCTGACAGCTTCCTTTTGACACAGGCATCGTGGTTCACAATCACATCTCCCATCATGATCCAGGCATGCAGCCAGTGGGGATGTGCAGCAAAGCTCAGAAAGGCTGGTCAGGACAGAGGATTAGGGGGAAGACGCAGCACTAAAAATGAGGATAGAACAACAGTGTCAGGCAATATGCCTGGGTTTGCTGGCTCTTTCTTCCCTCCATGCTTGCAGCATTTATTTGGGTTTTACTTGCTGTTGGGAGCATTGTCTTACAGCCTTTTCCTTCCCTGTGGTCTTTTAGGCTTGACTCCCTCCATCACATCAAGATGACTTTCTGCTACCAGACCCAGTGTGAGGATTCCTGTTACTCACCCTGCAACTATGGGACCATGTACACCTACAGGACCTATGACTGTGGAAGCCCCTGCAGCTACCGGACCTATGACTGTGGAAGCCCCTGCAGCTACAGGACCTATGACTGTGGAAGCCCCTGCAGCTACCGGACCTACGACTGTGGGAGCCCCTGTGGCTACCGGAGCTATGGGAGTCTGTGCAGTTACCGTGACTGCTACCCTTCCTATACCTCCCGCTACTGCTATCCCTACTCTTCTCGCTACACCCGTAGATACAGCTTTGGGAGCTGCTACCCCTGCTAAATCAAGAAGGATATAATGGAAAACAAGGAGTGAGAATTAAACACTGAATTCACGGCTGCTCTTAAAGGGGAGGGTTTGCAGAAGCTCTGAGTCCAGGACTATAACTGAAAGCTGTAGTATTTTGGCGAGATCAGTGTTTCTGTAAAACTTCTTCAGTGTGCTTCTAAAATGTCTTCCTTCTTTCCTACAGACTTCTTAACTCTCCATGAGTTTGGTAGAGTAAAAGATGTCGGGCTTAGCATGGATGAACAAATTCTTAACTGACTTTTGTCTCTTTGCCAGCTAACATTAATGAAATCTAGAGTGTACTTGCACTAACCTTCCTGTGGATATATTTCTGACTTAACTGCTTTTGAAGCTGTACCAAAGAAACAGTAAATCATCTGATCTGATTTGTTTCACTGGACTGAAAGCAAGCCAAAAGATTGAAAATGGAAATTGATAGTACAATGCTACAGCTATAGCAGCAAAAATAGTACCAATGAAACCAGAATTTCTGCAGATAAAATCTCTGTATGCATTCTTTCTGCTTCTGCTTCTTGTATTATTTTAGATTGTGACTGTTAGCTTTATCCTTATTAAAAAAATTATAGCATCATTACATGTCCCTGCTTTTGTTATTCTCATTTGGATGTACACAGATTTTTGTCCCCTGCTTGATACATTTTACGATGACATACTGCACACTGTAGCTCTTATGGACGTCAGCTGAACCTGAGCACACATTTTGCAAACTAAAAACCCAGTAATATCTCAGAAAATGAAGCCACCCATTCTGGAAATTCCTAGGAAGGATTTGGAAATATTAACTTCAGCATCACAGTGTGTGTACATATGTTGGACATAACAGCACTGCATCTTAGTGATTTGCAGATGCACTTTTGAATGGTTGCAGGAAAACCCAATTTAACTGAGGAATAAGCCAAAAAGTTGGGAGAGACTCACTATTTCTCAAGAGCTTTTGTGCTGGCAGTGTCTGGGATGGCTTCTGGGCTTAGAGGCCTGGTTCTGTTACAGAGCAGGAAACTGCACTCTTTCCATTCACCTGGCTTAAGTGTTTGTAAGTGTTACTGCAAGGCTCCATTTGAATGACAATGAAATGGCATGAAGTTCCCAGGCTGCACAATCACAGTTGTTATTAGGGTGAGATCCATTGCCCAAGTCTGCAGTGACTCTATTATTCATGACTGAAGGACCTAACTGACAGCAGGAGTAACCTCTTATTAGTATGATGCTGTAATGCAGTCTAGGCGTGAAACAGCTGGTGAAGTGCTTTGGAATCTCTATTAAACCCTAGAACCCTTATTGTGAATGTAATTACTGTCCTTTGAACACACACTGCTGCCTTTTGAGGTCAATCTCACACGAGGAACAGAGCTCAATTGTGCTATAATACAAAATTAATTGAAAACCTTTGCAAGTAAAGCACTGGATTACACCACCAGCACTTTTTGGGACGGAGCTTTCTCATTCCTTCTGAGGAGCTGTGTTCATAAGGAAGTGCTCACCCACTTTGATGCCTGACACCTTCCCTGCAGAAGCACAGTGCAAGTTGCTGGTCAACCTGTATCTTGGCATTAAGGTGGAATTCAGCTGGAATTGGTAATAATTTCTATTTTTTATGAGCTAAGTCTAAAATAAGAAATATGAAAGCTATGAATAAGTAAAAATTGGAAAGTATTATATCTCTCAGAATGCACAAGTAAGAGACAATATCAGCTTAAAACAATTCGTAATCTATCAGTAGTATTACAGACTACTTATGGACTTGGCTGCTTTAACAAGGGGCCTAGTTAGAAGGAAGAGTTAGAAATCCATGGAATGCCTCACAGATAGATGTTTCTTTCACTCCAGGATATCACCTTCAGATGAGACCAGAAAGAAATCCAAATTTCTGGGATTAGAAGGCTGAGTAACTAATTGGAGGATCTACTGGAGTTGTTTGTACAGGGCTACATTTGAATGAAACATCTGAAGGCTATAAAATCTCTGACTAAAGCATATATTGAAATGTCTCAACTTGCATGTTTGGAGTGACTATTATTCCATAAAGAAATGCCTGACAAAAGTTTAAATAGATTAGTAACGAACTACAAATATAACTATGAGCATCTGAGTTCATTGAAATTCCCAGACTATCTAGAGTGGTAAAAAGTGATGACATTGTATGTTTCTCTTTGAAAGAAGAACCACAAAGCAATAAATAAATTCACTCATGTTTTTTTTCCTTCAAAAGCTATCCTTTACAATGGGCCTGTTTGTTGTGTGCTGCATCAAGTCAGTCTATCAAAGGTCCCTCCCTTCCCCAAGTAACTTATTGTGTGATCCCAGACCTGCACATTGGTCTTCCACACAGACAGTTCCAGTCAAAGCCACCAGCAAGGGCAATCTGGCAGAATGCTGGTCATTGCTGGAGAGACCAGGATAAAAGGGGTCATCTGCCCCATATCTACCCAGGTTTCCCCTCACTTTTTCTTAGCCACCTTATATGTGGTGGGGGAGAACTTAGTGCAGGGATGGAGGAACATGAAGGCAATGGAGGGCAGGCATATGAAGAGGTGCTTGGGATAGGTAAGGCAGGTCCCGGAAATGACCCTGACAAGGCCGCAGGTGGGACTTTGCAAGGTGGCCCAGAGAGCAAAGGAAGTTACTTGGGGTAACGTCTGTGGGGAAAAGAAGAAATGGAACCAAGGGCGGACACTGCGATGCAACACAGCTTTTATTGCAGTTTGAAGGGGGAAGGAGCGGGGAGCAGAGCAGGGCCCTGGCAAAGGGCTTCCTCTGTCTGCTGGCTGTGGGCACACCAAGAATGAATATCAGCTGTGCAGGAGGAGCAGGCGTGCAGCATGGGGCTGCGTTGTCAGGGGACAGCAAGTCCTGAAGTGAAGCTCAAGCAGGGCAGGAGGAAGGCAGAGCTGGGCTTCAAGGAGGCCAGAGACTTCCAAGCTCTGCTTACCAGCAGTGCCAAAGGAATGCTCCTCCACAGAGCGTCATACTGGGATGTGACAGGGTATCTTCTGGAGATCTCCCATGTCTGTGGCCATACCTAGTGTGTGGTTAGCAGGTTCCACAGCTGCCACTGAGGTATGAGCGGCCTCGGCGCCAGCCACCATATCCGCAGCCTCCAAAGCCTCCATAGCCTCCACAGCTACCATAGCCTCCATAGCCCCCATAACCACCTAGGCCTCCATAGCCCCCATAACCCCCAAAGCCTCCATAGCCACCATGGCCTCCATAACTGCCACCGGAGCCCCCAGCAATGGCAGGGACTCCCGCTGAGCCCACAGCGCTTTGCTGCGGGAAGGAGCTGAGGATGGGTCCGGGGAAGGTGACCACCGTGGCTGGGGGCTGGATCACCACCGTGGAGCTCTGGCACTGACGCACACAGGGCTCGTTCGTGGTGTCAGCCACTGGGCACGGGGCGGCCACCCCACAGGAAGGGGCACACAGGCTGGAGCAGGACATCTTTCAGGCAGGTGCAGTGTCCTGGAAAAAGCACCGGGGATTAGGCAAGGGTGAGGGCAAGAAACTCTATCAAGGGAGGCAGGGAGAGATCTGCAAGAGGCTTTCAAGGGCTGCGCTTACCTATTTGAACTGAAGAGTCAAGAACAGAAATCTGGATAGAGGCTGTGAGGCATTCAGCTCTTTTATACATGTCCCAGACTGCCCGGGGCATTGGTCAGGCGTGGGGGCAGGAACTCCTCAGTCTCATAAAACTCAGTGGAAAAGCTCCATGACACAGAAAATGAAGTGAGACAATTATATCACTCTTCACTGGGGACACTGCTGTGTAAATGTCCCTTGAGTGTACAAGGCTGATGGAAGGGCGAGACCTTGACACACCTTGACATGAAACACAAGGTGCTGCTGTAGCTGAATTAGAAGCCCCAATAAACCTTGCTCTGTTCCTAACCCTTCACTTTGCCTCTGTAGGAGAGTCCTGAGCATCTTGCAGAAGTGCTTTGCAATCCTGGGCACAGCCACAATGCCTCTCATTACCTCTCTTTTACAGGCTGGCAAACAGAGGCATCACGAGGCTGCGTAAATACAGAAGCTTTTCAACACGTTTGTGGTGACCTTATCCCTTCCATCTCCCAAAGCAGCAAGACCTGTGCATGTCATGGTCTGTGGGTCCATAGACATGTCTATGAATTACCCAGCTCTTACAGATCTGGAGGACACTGGGATAGTTAGGTCATGGTTTTACTTGGTGGCCTTGCAAAGGGTAGAGGAGATGTGTCCATGCATTGCAGAACTGGAAACACACAGGGGGCTGGAAGAGATGTGATGGGCAGGCAGTGGGATAGAGCACAGGAAACCTCTGATGGGAAAACACACACACACATGTATGGAGGAGAAATGGAGCACTGTGGCCATGTCACTGTTACTTGGTTCAGCCTCATGTCTGTGAGCATGGTCTTCTGCAGGGTTTGATATGGCCACATTGCCTGGAGGCGTAGTCATGCTGAGCACTGCTGGTTCTGGGAGTGTGGCTTAATGGCTGCTGAGCTTGGTGTGACTGGGCACAGAAACGTTCCACAAATTGCCAAAGATAGTTTCTGGCATGTGAAGTGGGGGATTAAGGACAGATGAGAGTTTATTGGAACAGGGAGTTAAGTTACAGAAGTGCTGTGTCTTTGATGCTGTGATGTGTCATATTCAACCCTGCCATCATCTCTTTCTTCTCCTGAGCAAATGTACATGTCCGTTTCCACAGTTGGGAGGCATATAATTGTATCACACCACTATCTGTGTCATGAAGCTTGTCCACTCTACTACATGATCATCTGGGGTTTCTGTCATCACACTTTGGCCATTGCCCCAGGCAGTGTGGGACATGTATAAAAGAGCTGAGGGCTTCACAGCTATCCACATTCCTCCACTTGACTTTCCTGATCAAACAGGTAAGTTAAAACCCTATACCCTTCTTTCCTTCCTCAGCTGTTTCTTTCTCAATGTCTCTTTTGATGTCTTTTCCACCACACTTTCATAGCAAAAAGTATGTGATGGTGCCCTTTAAGAGATAGAGAAAGGATGAATATTGGAACTTGTAGGTATGATGCTCTGTGTATACCCATGCAATCTAGTGTTTTGCAAGCTTGGCGGTGTCCTATATGCTTTCATAAGGAAAAGTTTTCCTCTCTCCTATGGGCAAGTCAGGCCCAGGGAGCATAGAGGAAAGCAAGGGTTTTAAAGCAGCACATCAACTGTGGCTCATGTTTCTTCTCTGACTGCCTGGGATGATCCAGGCAATGTCCTGGAGCAGAGATTCCAAGTGGAAGACAGTGAGGAGGGATTTGTTGTCAGGCCATGTAGTGCACTGTAACTCTGTCTTCTCCTGCAGCTTGACCTTCTGAAGAGAAGAATGTCCTGCTCCAGCCTGTGTGTCCCTTCCTGTGGGGTGGCCGCCCCATGCCCTCTGGCTGACACCACCAATGAGCCCTGTGTGCGTCAGTGCCAGAGCTCCACGGTGGTGATCCAGCCCCCAGCTTCGGTGGTCACCTTCCCTGGACCCATCCTCAGCTCCTTCCCACAGCACAGCGTTGTGGGCTCAGCGGGAGTCCCTGCCGTTGCCGGGGGTTATGGTGGCAGTTATGGTGGCTATGGCGGATTTGGTGGCTATGGTGGCTACGGGGGCTATGGAGGCCTTGGTGGCTATGGAGGCTTTGGAGGCTGTGGATATGGAGGCTGGGGCCGAGGCCTCAGGTCCTTTGGTGGTTGGTGTGGGAGCTGCTAAGCCTCACCCACATCCAGCCTCAGACAACGGAGAGCTCCAGGAAATCCCCTGGGACATCCCAACATGATGATGTCCAAAGGAAGAACATCCCTTCAGCTCTGCTGAGATCTAGAGGCTGGATACCTCTTGCCTATTGGAGCTAAATTTTGCTCTCCTCCTGCCCTACTTGATCATCCCTTCAAGGCTTGTTGCCTCCTGATGACAGAGACCCTCATAGGGTGCCTGCTCTTTGTAGCTCTGCCCACTGCCAGGAGACATTGGATGGCCTTGGTCTGGGCCCTGCTTTTCTCCCAACTCCTTCCCCACCTCAATCTGCAATAAAAGCTGTGTTGCATTGGAATGTTGACCCTTGGTTTTTCCTGATCCTTTCTTCTTCTTTCCCACTTGCCACAAAATTCTGGGTTTGTTGGTCTGTGCTCCTTGAAAGTCCCATTCTAGTTCTCTGGGAGTTTGTTACTCTTGATGGTGCTCTGTTGTGTGGAGCTCTCAAGGCAGCCTTCCAGTATTAGAAGGGAGCCTACAAGGGTGCTGGAGAGGGACTCCTCATAAAGGGCTGTAGCAGTAGGGTAAGGGTTAATGGGTTAAAACTTAAATAGGGAGAATTCAGATTAGCTATAAGAAAAATGTTCTCCCCTGTGAGGGTGCTGAGGCGCTGGCACAGGGTGCCCAGAGAAGCTGTGGCTGCCCCATCCCTGGCAGTGTTCAAGGCCAGGTTACACAGGGCCCTGAGCGATGTGGTCTAGTGGGAAGTGTCCCTGCCTGTGGCAGTGGGTGGAACTTGATAATCTTAAGGTCCTTCCCAACTCAAACCATTTTATGATTCTATGATTATCATCCAAGATGGGTTGTATAGAGCATTTCCCAGGGAGCTGCTTCTTGTCTCCCTTCAGCAATGAACATAATACATACCCAACGCCCATCTGATAGATGTGAAAGTGCCTCAAGGGTCCTGTGGCAGCTCTTCCAAATCCTCTGCAAACTTGGCATGCTGCCATTGAATTCTTTTGTTGGTTTCATATTGGCCATACTGGGGGGTCCAGGGAAATGGAGAGAAAAACCAGGCATGTACAGGGCTGCTGTCACATGCTGATCATGTTCCTGTGCCCAGCCAGAGGTAGGTACTACTTAGAGAGTGTGTGATGAGCACAGCCAAGTCTTCCCAAGCATCCTCTCTGAGCCAGGATTTGTTCCCAGGTACCCAAGTCACATGAAGCATAAAGCGTTTTGAGAAGGAGGTTGAAATGCCAACACTGCCGAGATCCCTCCCTTCCCCAGGTAACTTCCTATCGTGTGATCCCAGCACTGCACTTTGGTCTTGCACACAGACAGCTCCAGCCAAGGCCATCAGGAAGGGCAATGTGGCAGCATGTTGGGCATTGCTGAAGAGGCCCGGAAAAGAGGGGTCAAATGTGCCATATCTACCCAAGTTCTCTTCACTTTCTCTCAGCTACCTTCTGCATGTTAGCTTCTGTGGTGTCCCCTGTGTGTCTGCTGAGGACACTGTGGTGGAAGTGGGTTTGGGTGATTCTGCTGCTGTATCTGGGTGCTTTTGGAGACATTTGGCAGCAGGGGCTACATTGTGAGCTGGTGTGTGAGCAAGGGCAGGAAAAGGCCAGCAAATCTGTTCCAAAGCAGAGGGCTGTAGGAAGCTCTCCTGCTCTTCCTGGGGAGAGTAGGGTCTGCAGAATGAAGGTGGGTGACACAGCGACTGGCAGGGAAGGGCTTCTGCTGCAGGAGCTGAGGCAGATGGGACCAGAAGTGATCCAGGGAGTATTTGGAGATTGAGAAAAAAAAGGTGCAGGAACGTGGAGGCAATGGAGGTGATGCATATGGGCAGGTGCTGGAACTTGTGACCCTCTCCCCTTTTGACCAGTGTTCTCTCAAGTGGCTCTGAGCTGCGCTTTTGCCATTGAGATGGCTCCATTTGGATACCAGTCCCAGGAGAGCTGGAGCTGCAGGCAGCCCATTGGAATGGCCACACTGGGCAGCAAACTCCTGATCGCTGCAGTTCTTCCTGGGCGGCACAGTGCAGGAGCCCAAAGCATAGAGAAGACAGAGAGGGAGAGAAGGAGAAGCTGCTGAAGAATGCAAACGTGTCCACCCACTGCTGACAATGGGTTGCTGGATGCACATGCTGCCCAGGCCAGGCTGAAGGATGTGAGACAGGTCCTGCATTGCTCTTGACAAGGCCCTTGGAGCAAACTGACCAGGATGCCCCAGAACCAAGGATATAAATTGGTGTATTATCTATTGAGGAAGGAAAAAGTAAAGCCAAGGGTTGATATTGAGGTGCAGTACAGCTTTTATTGCGTTTTGAAGGGAGGAGGGAGTTGGGAGAAGAACAAAGCCCTGATGAAGAGCAACCCATGACTCCTGGCTGTGGGCACATAGAGTAATCTCCAGCTGAGCCACAGAAGCAGGCATGCAGCAGGGGAGAGTACGTCCTGAAATGAAGCTCAATCAGGGCAGGAGGAAGGCAGAGTTGGGCTTCAAGCAGGCCAGAGACTTCCATGCTCTGGATCCCAGCAGTACCGAAGGAATGTTCCTCCACAGAACATCACGTCAGGATGTGCCAGGGTATCTTCTGGAGCTCTCCCAAGTCTGTGGCTGTACCCAATGTGTGGTTAGCAGGGCCCACAGTTGTTACTGAGGTACGAGCAGCCTCGGTGCCAGCCTCCATATCCGCAGCCACCAAGCCCCCATAGTCACCGTAGCCTCCAAATCCACCATAGCCTCCATAACTGCCACCAGAGCCCCCAGCAATGGCAGGGACTCCCACTGAGCCCACAGCGCTGTGCTGCGGGAAGGAGCTGAGGGTGGGTCCGGGGAAGGTGACCACCGAAGCTGGGGGCTGGATCACCACTGTGGAGCTCTGGCACTGACGCACGCAGGGCTCGTTGGTGGTGTCAGCCAGGGGGCATGGGGCGGCCACCCCACAGGAAGGGGCACACAGGTTGGAGCAGGACATCTTTCAGGCAGTCACTGAGTCCTGGAAAATGCACCAGGGATTAGGCAAGGGTGAGGGCAAGAAACTCTGTCAAGGGAGGCAGGGAGAGATCTGCAAGAGGCTTTCAAGGGCTGCGCTTACCTATTTGATCAGGAGAGTCAAGTGCAGGAATCTGGATAGAGGCTGTGAAACCTTCATCTCTTCTCTACATGTCCCAGATTCCCAGGGAATCAGCCAGGCAGGGGGGGCAGGAACTCCCGTAAATCACAAAACCCAGTGGAACAGCTGCATGACACAGAAAATTATGCGAGACAATCATATGCCTCTTCACTGGGGACGTTGGCTTGCAAAACTCCCGTGAGAGTATAAAGCTGATGGGAGGGCGAGACCTTGACACACCTTGACATGAAACACAAGGTGCTGCTGTAGCTGAATTAGAAGCCCCAATAAACCTTGCTCTGTTCCTAATCCTTCACTTTGCCTCTGTAGGAGAGTCCTGAGCATCTTGCAGAAGTGCTTTGCAATCCTGGGCACAGACACGACGCCTCTCATTACCTCTCTTTTACAGGCTGGCAAACAAGCATCAGGAGGTTGGGTAAATATAGAAGCTTTTCAACATGTTTGAGGTGATGTTCACATCCCTTCCATCTCCTAAAGCAGCAAGACCTGTGCATGTCATGGTCTGTGGGTCCATAGACATGTCTATGAATTACCTAGCTCTTACAGGTCTGGAGGACATTGGGATATTTAGGTCATGGTTTTACTTGGTGGCCTTGCAAAGGGTAGGGGAGATGTGTCCATTCATTGCAGAACTGGAAACATACAGGGGGCTGGAAGATATGTGATGGGCAGGCAGTGGGATAGAGCACAGGAAACCTCTGATGGGAAAACACACACACACATGTATGGAGGAGAAATGCAGCACTGTGGCCATGTCACTGTTACTTGGTTCAGCCATTAGGATTCAGCTATTAGATGCTGTTGGTGGTTGTTGGCAGGCAAAGTGGAACACAGTGGCACACCACCAAAAAGACAAAGCACAGCCGCTACTCTGGTATCTTTCATTTCATCATAGAATCATAGAATAATTAGGTTTGGAATGCACCTTAAGATCATTTATTTCCAACCTCCTTGCCATGGGCAGGGACACCTCTCATTAGACCAAGTCACTCAAGATCTGTCCAACCTGGCCTTGAATACTGCCAGGGATGGAGAATGACATGGTTAGTCCCTGCCATCACCCCCATTCTGTCAAGGGCACATTTGCATACCGATATCCCCAAAGAAAAGGAATATCATTGTATCGCATCACTATCTGTCATGACTCTTGTCAGGTTGATTTTCAAGAAGGCATTTGGGATCTGCCTGGCTTCTACCTGCTTTCCTTCAGGAATCACATCCTGCTATGTGAGGTTTATCCAGAGTAGGGACTATGCCCATCCCCATTGACCAAAGCTTTCCCCTCTTTGCCTTCTGTGTCTTCTCCCCTCCTTATGATCTTCCATTGTGTAGCCCAAGAAGTGTGAGGACTAGCAGTGATTTTACTGCCCACTCAAGCCATTCCCTTGGGCTGCCTGTATCCCCAGGCCTCCCGGGATTGGGACTCCAGTGGAACTACCTAAACAACAAAGGCACAGCTCAGAGTCACTTGGGAGGCCATGGGACAAAGAGGGAGAGTGTCACCAATGCCCAGCACCTCGCCAAATGCCTTGCCTCAAAACCCTATTTCACTGCAATGCTCTCAGGGCACACCATGTGAGCCAGAACCTGTTCTGTGTCCAAGAGCCACTGCAGGGGAGTCTGGCCAGACATAAGGATGGGCAGAGATGGAAACAGCCTGTGTCAGGAACAACAGATAATAGTCCAAAGTGAAACACACAAAGATAGAAAAGCACTGTTTTATGCTTTGGCTCCTTCCCAGAAGGTCCTGTTTTGGCTGCTCTCTGCAGAGTCCATCTTTGGTTCCTACCCGGAAAGGTCCACTTTAGAACTCCCTGGAGAAGTCCCGACCCTTGGAGACCTTTCTAGATATTGCTGGACATTTCTTCCAATGTAAGCTGGCTCCCTCCATCAGAATAAGTGCGCATTTTTGTTGGTATAAAAGCCAGAGCCTCATGCGATGTGGGGAGGCAGAACTTCATACCACCCAGGTCAAAGTTGCCTTTGCGGGGATGCCTGCTAAAGTTGAGCTGGCCACCTTGCACTGTGACGATGCTTCTTGAAGCTGGTTTCCTGATCGTCATTACGTGGTCCTTGGGGTTAGTAAGATAACTAAACATCAGAGATATCCTTTACTGTATCTGTTGTTACCTCTATATTTTCCCTGTATTCATCAGCTAGTTATGATTCTTTATTGTCTTGTGTTTCTCTCAACCCGGAATCCTCAAACTCCAGAACACAGCCTCAAGGAGAAGAAAGACACGCAAACTTCACTTCTGGCAGTGGAAAAATATCTGCTGTTGCCATAATGCTGCCATTTTCCCAAATCTTTGTGTTCACATTGCAAATGAGGGATTATTTCTGAGCTGTCCAGCAGTGACCAAAGAGCTGCCATTCTGTGCTTCCTGGTGGCTCTGGCTGGAACTGCTTCTGTGCAGAAACAGTGTTCAGTGCCAAGATAACCAGATCAGAAGTTACCCAGGGAAGGGAGAGACCTTGAAAGAGTCAGCAGTGCAAACTCCCATTCAGAGTTTTATGCTGCATGTGACTTGGATACCCATGGAAACCATGGCTCTGAGAGGAAACTTGTGAAGATTTGGCTGTGAAGATTTCACTTTCCATTGGCCCACAGCTCTAGCTCAGCAAGGGGACATGGCCAACATATGGTAGAAGCATGGATTTAAATTCCATTTCCCTTGACCTCCAAATGTGACCAATAAGAAGCCAACAAAAGGAGGCAATTGCAGCATGCTGGTTTTGGAGAGGATCTGGGAGAGCTTCTGCAAGAAGATATGGTGCTTTCATATCATCCAAGTGGGCTTTGAAATTCATTCTGTTTATTGCGGGAGGGAGACCAAAGGAAGCTCACTGGGATGCACGCTACAAGACTGATATGGAACAGTCATCATTAGTTAGAATACAGTGAACAAGCTGCCTAAATGATCAAAGGGCAGAACCATGGGTCATTCAGGCAGCCAAGACCAAGAAGCCCAGAGGTTTAGGGCATGTGGGAAAGAAAAAGAAACGATCTGAAAAACCAAAGGATCAACACTGCGATACAACATAGCTTTAATTGAAGATTGAGGTGGGGAAGTAACTGGGGAAAAAGCAGGGCCTCAGCCAAGGCCATCCAACATGTCCAGGCCATGGGCAGAACTACACAGAGCATCAGACCTGCCACTGGAGCAGGCACCTGGTTTGAGTATCTGTTATCAGAGGAAAATGAGTCTTAAACAGATGCTCAAGCAGGAAATGAGGGAAAAGAATTGGGACAAAAGCTGTCAGGAGGCTTCCAAGCTTTGAAAACCATTAACGTTGAAGGGAAGATCTTCCACTCAGCAGCATCATATTGGGATGTGTCAGAAGCCAGGAGATCCCTGTTGTCTGAAGATGGACCTAGGTGGGGCTCAGCAACTCCCACACCAACCACCGAAGGACCTGAGGCCTCGGCCCCAGCCTCCATATCCACAGCCCCCAAAGCCTCCGTAGCCACCAAGGCCTCCATAGCCCCCATAACCCCCAAAGCCTCCATAGCCACCAAATCCTCCATAGCCTCCATAACTGCCACCAGAGCCCCCAGCAATGGCAGGGACTCCTGCTGAGCCCACAGCGCTTTGCTGCGGGAAGGAGCTGAGGATGGGTCCGGGGAAGGTGACCACCGTGGCTGGGGGCTGGATCACCACCGTGGAGCTCTGGCACTGACGCACACAGGGCTCGTTGGTGGTGTCAGCCACGGGGCACGGGGCGGCCACCCCACAGGAAGGGGCACACAGGCTGGAGCAGGACATCTTTCAGGCAGTCACTGAGTCCTGGAAAATGCACCAGGGATTAGGCAAGGGTGAGGGCAAGAAACTCTGTCAAGGGAGGCAGGGAGAGATCTGCAAGAGGCTTTCAAGAGCTGCACTTACCTATTTGAACTGAAGAGTCAAGTGCAGGATTCTGGATAGAGACTGTGAAGCCTTCAGCTCTTTTATACAAGTCCCAGGCTGCCTGGGGCATCGGCCAGGGGGAGTGGTTAGAATCCCCAAGGACCCATGGAAGGCAGTGGATAAATTTCATGACACAACTAATAAGACTTGAAAATTTTGGCCTTGTATTGGGTCAGTGGTATGTGAATGTGCTCTGTAGTGCATATGGGAGGTTGAGTATAGCATGACACATTCCATGATAGACAAGTTCTTGTTGTAGCTGACCTTGCAGCACCAATAAACACGGATCTGTCATTAATCCCCTCTTTGCCTATCCACCGCTGAGTGAGGCAGCAGTGTCCAGCGTGCCTGTGCCTGTAGGCAGCGTGGCCACGCGAACCTTGGCTCACTGTGGGTGCTCATCAGCGTCTCCTGTATCAGCCCTTAATGTCCAGCTGAGGAACTGAGTCCCTCCAGAGAGGACTTGACGCAGATGACACTCACAGACAATGTGGCCAAGGAACCTGGGGGAGTCCTGGTTCCCTTGTTGCCCTCCTGCCCCTCTGTGCATGTCTCCTTCTCACCCATGACCCTGCTGTCAGATATCAGTGCTCCCCTAACACATCAGTATTGAGCTCCCAGCCTGTGGTTCTCCCCACACACAGCCAGTGCAGCTCCTACCCTTAGCATGGTCCTTGGTCGGTAAGGCCCAGTCACACCCTGATAAGCAAGGTCATGGAGATGGCCCACGTTTAGGAATGGTTCTGAACTGCTGCCCCAAAAGGGGACTGGAATGTCTTGAGCCTTTAGAATGTGAAATGTGCTCTCCCTTTTCTTAACCTCCCTGTACCTCTGTTTACCACCATGTGAAAGAGAGGTAATACCAGGTGTGCTGGCTGTGCCCTGGATTGTAAAGCACTTCTGCAAGGTGCCCAAAGCTCCAGCACATGAGCAAAGTGAGAGGATTAGGGATCGATCAGGGTTTATTGGTTTTGTGAGGTCAGCTACAGCATCACCTTGTCTTTCATGTCATGGTGTGCCAAGATGCGTTCCTCCCATTCTGGATTTGCTCTCCAGGACACGTTTGCTTTCCACTCTCCCCAGTGAGGATGGATTTACTTTGTTTCATGAGGCTTCACAGCTTGATTTCATCATTATCTGGGGCTTCTGTCGCTGATGCTGGCCACTGCCCCAGGCAATGTGGGACATATATAAAAGAGCTGCGTGGTTCGTAGCTCTCTATGCAGCTTCTTCCTCTTGAGTCTCCTGATCATTCAGGTAAGTCCCAGACTTATGTCCTTCTTTCCTTCATCAGCTGTGTATCTTTGTTGACATCTCTTTGCTGTCTTCTCCAAACCTTTTTATAGGAATAGGTAGGATTTGATAGTAATCTTTTAGAGACAGGGAAATGTCTGAATTTTGACCTTTAGGTCAGATCTATGAGTATACCGATGTCCTCAAGTCTGTTGTGAGGTCGTTGATGTCTTATCTGCGTTTGATGTGGGGACTTTTTTTCTATGTGGCAGTCAGGCTGAGGAATCATGGAGGAGACCAAGGGGTTTACAGCAGCATGCCAACTGTGGGATGGGATTTTTCTCTGGCTGCCTGAGATGATCAGAGCATGTCCTGAGGCAGAGGTTCCAAGCAGAAGAGAGTGATGAGGGATTTGTTGTCAGGCCATGTAGTGCACCCTAACTCTGTCTTGTCCTGCAGCTTGACCTCCCGGACAGAAGAATGTCCTGCTCCAGCCTGTGCGTCCCTTCCTGTGGGGTGGCCGCCCCATGCCCGCTGGCTGACACCACCAACGAGCCCTGCGTGCGTCAGTGCCAGAGCTCCTCGGTGGTGATCCAGCCCCCAGCCACGGTGGTCACCTTCCCCGGACCCATCCTCAGCTCCTTCCCACAGCACAGCGCTGTGGGCTCAGCGGGAGTCCCTGCCATTGCTGGGGGCTATGGTGGGAGTTTTGGTGGCTATGGTGGACTTGGTGGATACGGGGGCTATGGAGGCTATGGAGGCCTTGGTGGCTACGGTGGCTTTGGGGGCTGCGGATATGGTGGCTGGGGCAGAGGCCTCCTGTCCTTTGGTGCCAGCTGTGGGAGCTGCTAAACCCCACCTGGGTCCAGCCTCAGACAATAGAGATCTCCAGAAAAGCCTGTGGCATATGCCAACGTGATGATGCCCAAAGGAAGAACATCTCTTTCATCGCTGCTGGGATCTAGAGGTTGGATGCCTCTTGCCTGTTGGAGCCCAGCTCTGCCTTCCTCCTGCTCTGCTTGAGCATCCCTGCAAGACTTGTTACCCCCTTATGACAGAGACCCACACTAAGTTCCTGCTCCTGCAGCATGGTTGATGCCCTTTGGAGCACTGCCCACTGCCAGCAGTGCTGGACTGACCTTGATTGGGGCTCTGCTCTTGTCGCTACTCCTTAACCCCTGAAACCACAATAAAAGCTGTGTTGCATCGCAGTGCTGACCTCTGGTTTTATTTGATTCTTCCTCCATACACAATATCCCATGTGGCATTGCGGTTTCCCATGAGTGTCCTGGACAGTTCCCACCCATGACCTTTTGAAGGAGACCTTTGGGTGGTGTCTGGCTTCCTCCTGCTTCCCCTCAGAAATCACCTCTTGCTATGGGAGGGTCGACCAGAGCAGGGACCATGGCCATGTTCACGGACCACAGTTGTGAGAATCCAGGTCAGAAGAAGAGTGTCAGCAATTGCCAGCACCTCCCCAAAAGCCTTGCCTCCATTGCCTCCACATTCCTGCAACCTGGCACCATGTTCACTTGCAGTGTTTCCTCCATCTTCCAATGCTCCTCGGAGCACTTCTGGCCCCACCTGCCCCTCACTGCTCCTCCAGAATGTCTTCCCAGCCTTGTCACCCACCTCACACTGCAGGCTCAGAAGTTGCCCGGAACAACAGGAGGGCTTCCTACACCCAGTGCTCCAAAAAAGGCTTTTCTGGCCTTTTCCTGCTCTTCCTCACACACCAGCTCACAATGTAGCCTGTGCTGTCAAATGTGTCCAAAAGCACCCAGTTATGGCAGCAGAGATGGGATCACCCAAAACCCCTTCCACCAAGGTACCCTCAGGAGGCACACAGGGGACACCACATGAGCCACCACATAGAAGGTGTCTGAGAGAAAGTGCAGGTAAACCCAGGCAGATACGGGACAGAGGACATATCTTTACCTGGGCTCCCCAGCAATGACCAGCATGTTGCCAAATTGCCTTTCCTGATGGCCTTGGCTGGAACTGTCTGTGTACAAGACCAAAGTACAGTGCTGGGATCCCACTGTGATAAATAACCTGGGGAATGGGGGGATCTCGGCAGTGTTGGCATTGCAACCTCCCTCTCAAAAAGCTTTATGCTTCTTTTGGCTTGCATACCCATAGAAAATCCTGGCTCAGAGAGGACATTTGGGAAGACTTGGCTATGTCTATCACGCTCCTTCAGAGTAGTACCCATATCTGGCTGAGCACAGGGACATGTCCACCATGTGGCAGCAGCACTGTAGCAGCAGAGTTTTTCTCTCCATTTCCCTGGACCACCCAATGTGACCAATACAAAGCTGACAAAGAGAGCCAACGGCAGCATGCCGGTTTTGCAGAGGACTTGGAAGAGCGTCCATGAGACAGCTATGGTGCTTTCGAATCCTCCAAGAGGCCACTGGATACGTATTTCATTTATTGCTAAAGGGGACCAGAGGAAGCCCACAACGACATCCTGTACAAGACCCAGTTTTCACAGTCATCATTATTCGAATCATACTGAGCACTGAATCCAGCCACCCAAATGCCCCAAAGGCACTACTGTGGGTTATTCAAGTAGACCAGCCTAAGAAGCCCAGATGTTTGGGGCAAGTGAGAAAGAAGAAGAAAGGATCTGAAAAACCAAAGGATCGACACTGCGATACAACATAGCTTTTATTGAAGATGGAGGTGGGGAATGAAATGGGAGAAACGCAGCAAAACAGCCGAGGCCATCCAAGGTCTCCAGTCCATGGGCGGAACTATGAAGAGCATCAGTCCTGCCACTGGAGCAGGAACCTGGTGCAGGTTTCTTTTATAAGTGGGCAACGTGTGTGGAAAGGGTGCTCAAGCAGAGGAGAAGGGAGGCAAAGTAGGGCTCCAAGAGGCAAGAGGCATGCAACCTGTTGATGCTAGGAGTACTGAAGGCATGTTCTTCCTTCGGTCATCATCGTGTTGGGATGTGCCAGAGCCTTTCCTGGAGCTCTCTGTCATCTGTGGCTGGACCCGGGTGGGGCTCAGCAACTCCCACACCAACCACCGAAGGACCTGAGGCCTCGGCCCCAGCCTCCATATCCACAGCCCCCAAAGCCTCCATAGCCACCAAGGCCTCCATAGCCCCCATAACCCCCAAAGCCTCCATAGCCACCAAATCCTCCATGGCCTCCATAACTGCCACCAGAGCCCCCAGCAATGGCAGGGACTCCCACTGAGCCCACAACGCTGTGCTGCGGGAAGGAGCTGAGGATGGGTCCGGGGAAGGTGACCACCGTGGCTGGGGGCTGGATCACCACCGAGGAGCTCTGGCACTGACGCACACAGGGCTCGTTGGCGGTGTCAGCCAGCGGGCATGGGGCGACCACCCCACAGGAAGGGGCACACAGGCTGGAGCAGGACATCTTTCAGGCAGGCACGGAGTCCTGGAAAATGCACCAGGGATTAGGCAAGGGTGAGGGCAAGGAACTCTGCAGGGAGAGATCTGCAAGAGGCTTTCAAGAGCTTCACTTAGCTATTTGAGCTGAAGAGTCAAGCGCAAGGATTTGGAGAGAGACTGTGGAGCCTTCAGCTCTTTTATACAAGTCCCTGACTGCCTGGGGCAGCAGCCAGGGGGTGTGAGCAGAATCCACAAACAGTCCTGGAACCCAGTGGATAATGTTATGACACACATAATTAGATAAGTACCTCTAGCCCCCATTAATTGGGGTCAATGTTATGCAACCGCCCCTGGAGTGCATATGGGTGATGGGATGTGGCGCAGCACGTTCCATTATAGGCAAGGTTCTGTTGTAGCTGACCTTGCATCGCTCATAAACACAGGTCTGTCATTAATCCCCCACTTTGCCTTCCCATTGCTGAGAGATTCAGCAGTGCCCAGAATGCCTGTGCCTGTCGGTCTTGTGACCACGTGCACCCTGTCTCATTGTGGGTCCTCACACGTTTCTCCTGTAGCAGACCCCAATGTCCAGTTAAGGAACTAAGTCTCTCCAGAGAGGGCTCGAGGAGATCCGCGCTCACAGTCACGTGGCCAAGTAAGCAGGGGGAGTACTTTTTACTTCCCTTCCCTCCGGCGCCTCTTTGCATTTCTCCTTCTCACTCATGACCCTGCTGCTGGATTTCATTCCTTCCCTAACAAGAATATGTTGAGCTCCCAGCATTTAGGTCTCCTCCCTGACACATCTAATGCAGCTCCTACTCTTTGCATCTTAGCTGCTAAGACACAGTTGCAACCTGATAAACACGGTCGTGGAGATGGCCCATGTTTAGGGATGTTTTTGAACTGTTACCCCAAAAGGTAACAGTTGGGCCTTTGGAAGTCATTCTAAGCATGTGGAATGACTTCTCTATTTTCCCAAGCTCCCCGTGCTTCTGTTTACCATCTTGTAAAAGAGAGTTAATGCCACAGGTGATGGATGTGCCCAGGATTGCAAAGCACTTCTGCAAGGTGCCCAAGACTCCAGCACATGAGCGAATTAGGAGCCTATTGGGGTTTATTGGTTTTGTGAGGTCAGCTATAGCATCGCCTTGTCTTTCATGTCATGGTGTGTCATGGTCTGTTCCACCCATTCCCTGTTTGCTCTCCAGAGCAGGTTTGCATGCTTTCGTCCCCAATGAGGATGCGTACTTCGTTTCATGAGGCTTCAGCACTTGACTTCATTATTAGCTGAGGCTTCTCTCCCTGATGCTGGCCACTGCCCCAGGCAGTGTGGGACATGTATAAAAGTGCTGTGGGCATCACAGCTCCCTATTCAGCTTTTCCACTTGACTGCTGATCACTGTGGTAAGTCCTAGACTTATGTTCTTCTTCTTCTGTGTGTCCTTGTCACCATCTCTTTGCTGTCTTGTCCACCAGCTTTCAAATGAACAGATAGGATGCAATGGCGCTCTTTTAGAGACAGGAAAGAACTTGAATTTTAGTATTCCATGTGAGATCTATAAGCATACGAATGCACTCAGGTCCCTTGTGAGGTCATTGATACCTTATCTGTGTTTGATGTTGGGTCTTTTTCCCAAAGCATAGTAAGGCTCATAGAGGATGGAGGAGTTCAAGGGGTTTAAGAACCATATAAACTGTGGAACAGGTTATGCTCTGTCTGCTTGAGATGATCCAGGGAATGTCCGGGAGCAGACGTTACAAGTAGAATAGAGTGAGGAGGGATTTTTCATCAGGCCATGTACTGCACCGTAACTCTGTCTTCTCCTGCAGCTCAACCTTCAGAAGACAAGAATGTCCTGCTCCAGCCTTTGCATCCCTTCCTGTGGGGTGGCCACCCCGTGCCCCCTGGCTGACACCACCAACGAGCCCTGCGTGCGTCAGTGCCAGAGCTCCACTGTGGTGATCCAGCCCCCGGCTTCGGTGGTCACCTTTCCTGGACCCATCCTCAGCTCCTTCCCGCAGCACAGCGTTGTGGGCTCAGCGGGAGTCCCTGCTGTTGCCGGGGGCTCTGGTGGCAGTTATGGAGGCTATGGAGGATTTGGAGGCTATGGAGGCTTTGGTGGCTACGGGGGCTTTGGTGGCTATGGAGGCTTTGGGGGCTGTGGATATGGAGGCTGGGGCCGAGGTCTCAGGTCCTTTCGTGGTTGGTGTGGGAGCTGCTAAATCCCACGTGGGTCTGGCCTCAGACAATAGAGATCTCCAGAAAAGCCTATGGCATATGCCAACGTGATGATGCCCAAAGGAAGAACGTTCCTTTCACAATTTCTGGGATCTAGAGGTTGGATGCCTCTTGCTTTTTGAAGCCCAGCTCTGCCTTCCTCTTGCTCTGCTTGAGCAACCTTTCAAGACTTATTTCCGCCTGATGACAGAGACCCACACTAAGTTCCTGCTCCTGCAGCATGCTTGATGCCCTTTGGAGCTCTGCCCACTGCCAGCAGTGCTGGACTGACCTTGCTCAGGGCTGTGCTGTTGTCCCAACTGCTTTCCCCCTGAAACTGCAATAAAAGCTGTGTTGCATCACATTGCTGACCCTTGGTTTTATTTGATTCTTCCTCCATACACAATATCCCATGTGGCATTACAGTTTCCCATGAGTATCCTAGACAGTTCACACCCATGACCTTTTGAAGGAGACCTTTGGGTAGTGTCTGGCTTCCTCCTGCTTTCCCTCAGAAACCACCTATTGCTACAAGAGGGTCGCCAGAGCAGGGACCACGGCCACATGCTAATCTTTCTTTCCCTCCCAGGCTTCCGCTGTCCATAAGCTCCTGCACTGTGCAGCTCAAAAAGAACTGTTGGGACCAGCAGTGAATTTTCGGCCCACTCTGGCCATTCCCATGAGCGGCCTGCAGCTCCCGCTCTCATGGGACTAGCATAACAATGAATCCGTCTCAAAGGTAAAGGTCAAGGTCACTTGTGAGAATACAGGTCAAAAGAAGAGTGTCACCAATTTATCCTCCCCAAATGCCTTGCCTCCATTGTCTCCACATTCCTTCAGTCTGTCACTATGCTCACCCACAGTGTTTCTTCAACTTAAAATGATCCTTGGAGCACTTTTGGCTCCATCTGCCCCTCACTGCTGCTTCAAAAGCTCTTCCTGTCCACTTCCTGAGTCACCCACCATCAGTCTCCAGTCCCGCTTATGCCCAGGAAGAACAGTTCGGCTTCCTACAGACATTGCTCCAAAAAAGACTTTTCTGTCCTTTTCCTGCTCTTCCTCACGCACCAGCTCAGAATGTAGCCCAAGATGCCAAATGGCTCCAAAAGCACTCAGATATGGCAGCAAAGATGCGATCACCCAAACTCCTTTCCACCACAATGCCTTCAGCAGACACACAGGGAACACCACCTGAGCCATCACATAGAAGGTGTCTGAGAGAATGTGCAGGTAAACCCGGGCAGATACAGGACAGAGGACATGTCTTCACCTGGGCTCACAAGCAATGACCAACATGCTGTAAATTTCCCCTTCCTGATGGCTTTGTCAGGAACTGTCTGTGTACGAGATCAAAGTACAGTGCTGGGATCACACGATAGGAAGTTACCTGGGGAAGGGAGGGATCTCTGCAGTGTTGGCATTGCAACCTCCCTCTCAAAAAGCTTTATGCTTCATGTGACTTGGATACAGAGGGAAAATCCTGGCTCAGAAAAGACATTTGGGAAGACTTCTTCGTGCCTTTGTGAGTAGCACCCATATCTGGCTGGGAGCGGGCTATTACCAGCATGTGACTGCAACATTCTGCTTGCATGTTTTTTCTCTATATTTAACTCGACCTTCCAATGTGACCAATATGGAAGCCAACAATGGGAGGCAATTGCATTATGTTCATTTTTCAGAGCATTTGGAAAAGGTTCCACATGACACCTGAGGTGCTTTCACATCTTCCAAGAGAGCTCTGGGAATGTATTGTGTTTATTGCTGGAGGAAGACCAAAGGATGCTTGCTGTGACATCCTCCACAGAACCCAGATGAGACAGTCAGCATCATTCACATCACACTGAGAAGGCCACACAAGTGCTCCAAAATCACTACTGTGGATTCCTCAAGAAGCCCAGTGCAAGAAGGCCAGAGGTTTAGGGCAAGAGAGAAAGAAAAAGAACGGATCAGGAAAAACAAACGTTCTATATTGTGATACAACACAGCTTTTATTGAAGTTTGAAACAGGGAGAAAATTGGAAGAAGTGGATTATGCTAACCAAGGCAATGCAACCACTGCAGGCAGTGGGCAGAACTACAAAGAGCATCAGCCCTGCCACTGGAGCAGGCACCTGGTGGGGATTTCTGATTTCAGAGATCAGTGCCTCTGAAAACAATGCTTAAGCAGGGGAGGAGGAAGGCAGAGTTGGCCTCCAACAGGCAAAAGGTGTCAAAGCTCTGAATGCCAGAAGTGCAGAACAGATCTTCTTTTTTGGGTATCATCATGATGGGATGTGCCAGAGGCTTTCCTGGAGCTCTCTGTCATTAGAGGCGGGTCCCAGGTGTGGCTTACCAGCTTCCACACCAACCACCGAAGGACCTGAGACCACGGCCCCAGCCTCCATATCCACAGCCCCCAAAGCCTCCGTAGCCTCCAAGGCCTCCATAGCCTCCACAGCTACCATAGCCTCCATAGCCCCCGTAGAAACCAAGGCCTCCATAGCCCCCATAGCCACCAAGGCCTCCGTAGCCACCGTAGCTCCCGTACCCTCCAAATCCACCATAGCCTCCATAACTGCCACCGTAGCCCCCAGCAATGGCAGGGACTCCCGCTGAGCCCACAGCGCTGTGCTGCGGGAAGGAGCTGAGGATGGGTCCGGGGAAGGTGACCACCGAAGCTGGGGGCTGGATCACCACCGAGGAGCTCTGGCACTGACGCACACAGGGCTCGTTGGTGGTGTCAGCCAGCGGGCACGGGGCAGCCACCCCACAGGAGGGGATGCACAGGCTTGAGCAGGACATCTTTCAGGCAGGTGCAGAGTCCTGGAAAATGCACCAGGGATTAGGCAAGGGTGAGGGCAAGAAACTCTGTCAAGGGAGGCAGGGAGAGATCTGCAAGAGGCTCCAAGAGCTGCACTTACCTGTTTGATCAGGAGAGTCAAGAACAGGAATCTGGATAGAGGCTGTGAATCCCTCATCTCTTTTATACATGTCCCAGACTGCCTGGGGCATCAGCCAAGGGGTGTGGGCCGAATCCCCAAATACTCATGGAAGCCAGTGGATAAACTTCATGGCACACATAATTAGACAAGTAACTCTTGTCCCTCTTTACTGGGGTCAGTGGTATGCGAAGGTGCCCTGGAATGCGTATGGGTGAAGGAATATGGCATGACACGGTCCATGATAGACAAGATGCTGTTGTAGCTGACGTTGCAGCACCAATAAACACAAGACTGTCATTAGTCCTCCACTTTGCCTGTCCACTTCTGATGGAGCCTGTGGTGCCCAGCATGCCCATGACTGTGGGGAGCATGGCGATGTGCACCCTCGTTCTCTGTGCGTGCTCAGAAGCATCTCCTGTATTAGCACTTACTGTTTAGTTGAGGGAATTGGGTCCCTGCAAAGAGGGCTCGAGGATGTCCACAGTCAGGGACACGTGGCCAAGGAAGCTGGGGGAGTCATGGTTCTCTTCTTGTCCTCCTGTGCCTCTGTGCATGTATCCTTCACACCCATGACCCTGCTGCTGGATCTCACTGCTCGCCTAACACGTAAATGTTGAGCTCCCAGCATATGAGTCTTCTGCCACAAATCAAATGCAGCTTCTACTCATTTCATGTTTCTTGGTCGATAAGGACCAGTGACGCCCTGAAAAGCAAGGTCATAGAGACATCTGAGGGTTAGAGATGTACTGTACAGTTGCCCCAAAAGTGTACTGGAATGTCTTGGTCCTTCAGATGTCATTCCAAGCATGTGGAAAGGCTTCTCTCTTTGCCCAAGATCCCCGTGCCTCTGTTTACCACCTTGTAAAAGAGAGGTAATGACAGGCGTGACGGCTGTGCTCAGGATTGCAAAGCACTTCTGCAAGGTGCCCAAGACTACAGCACATGAGCAAAGTGGGAGGATAAGGGCCCGATCGGGGTTTATTGGTGCCATGAGGTAACCTAGTCTTTATGTCATGGCGTGTCGTGATCTGTCCCTCCCATTCCCTGTTTGCTCTCCAAGGCACGTTTGCTTGCTATAATCCCCAATGAGGGTGCATACTTTGTTTCATGAGGCTTCACACTTGATTTGCTCTTTAGCTTGGGCTTCTGTCGCTGACGCTGGCCACTGCCCCAGGCAGTGTGGGACATGTATAAAAGTGCTGAAGGCTTCACAGCTCCCTACCCAGCTTCTTCCTCTTGACTCTCCTGATCATTCAGGTAAGTCCCACACATGTCCTTCTTTCCTTCTTCAGCTATGTATCTTTGTCAACATTTCTTTGCTGTCTTGTCCATAACCTTTCATAAGAATAGATAGGATGGGATGGTGCTCTTTCAGAGACAGGGAAATGTCTGAACTTTAATCTGTAGATCAGATCTATGAATCTACCAATGCACTCAAGTCCCTTGTGATGCCATTGGTTTCTTATCTGTGTTTGATGTGGGGTCTTTTTTCCTATGTCAGTCACGGGCATTCAGGATCATAGAGCACGGAGGAGTGGCAAGGGGTTTACAGCAGCATGTCAACTGTAGCTCAGGTTTCTGCTCTGCCTGCGTAACGCAATACAGGGAATGTCCTGGAGCATTGATTGAAAACACAAGAGAGTGAGGAGGGATTTGGTATTCGGTCGTGTACAGCACCATAATTCTGTGTTCTTGTGCAGCTTGACCTCTCAAAGAGAAGAATGTCGTGCTCCAGCCTGTGCGTCCCTTCCGCTGGGGTGGCCGCCCCATGCCCTCTGGCTGACACCACCAATGAGCCCTGTGTGCGTCAGTGCCAGAGCTCCACGGTGGTGATCCAGCCCCCGGCTTCGGTGGTCACCTTCCCCGGACCCATCCTCAGCTCCTTCCCTCAGCACAGCGCTGTGGGCTCAGCTGGAGTCCCTGCTATTGCCGGGGGTTTTGGTGGCAGTTATGGAGGCCATGGTGGCTACGGAGGCCTTGGTGGCTATGGAGGCCTTGGTGGCTATTGGGGCTATGGAGGCTATGGTAGCTGTGGAGGCTACGGAGGCTTTGGTGGCTACAGAGGCTTTGGTGGCTGTGGATATGGAGGCTGGAGCCGTGGTCTCAGGTCCTTCGGTGGTTGGTGTGGCAGCTGGTAAGCCCCACCTGGGAGCAGCCTCAGACAACAAAGAGCTCCAGGAAAGCCTATGGCACATCCCAACTTGACGATACCCTAAAGAAGAACGCCCTTTCAGCACTGCTGGGATCCAGAGCTTGGACACATCTTGCTTGTTGGAGCCCAGCTCTGCCTTCCTCCTGCTCTGCTTGAGCATTCTTTCAGGACCTGTTACCGCCTGATGACAGAGACCCACACTAAGTTCCTGCTCCTGCAGCATGCTTGATGCCCTTTGGAGCTCTGCCCACTGCCAGCAGTGCTGGACTGACCTTGCTCAGGGCTGTGCTCTTGTCCCAACTGCTTTCCCCCTTAAACTGCAATAAAAGCTGTGTTGCATCACATTGCTGACCTTTGGTTTTATTTGATTCTTCCTCCATACACAATATCCCATGTGGCAATATGGTTTCCCATGATATCCTCTAGACAGTTCCCACCCATGACCATTTGAAGGATACCTTTGGGTAGTGTCTGGTTTCCTCCTGCTTTCCCTCTGAAACCACGTGTTGCTACATGAGGGCTGACAAGAACAGGGACCATGCTCATGTTCATGGACCACAGCTAAACTTTCTTTCCCTCCCAGGCTTCTGCCATCCTTAAGCTCCTGCACTGTGCAGCTCTAAAAGATCTGTTGGGACCAGCAGTGAATTTTCTGCCCACTCTGGCCATTTCCGTGAGCGGCCTGCAGCTCCAGCTCTCATGGGACTGGCATAACAATGAATCCATCTCAAAGGTAAAGGTCCAGGTCTGCGTCACTTGTGGGAATACAGGTCAAAAGAAGAGTGTCACCGGTTACCAGCCCTTCCCAAATCCCTTGCCTCCATTGTCTCCACATCCCTGCAACCTGGCACCATGTTCACCTACAGTGTTCCTTCATCTTCTAATATTCCTCGGAGCACTTTTGGCCCCATCTGCCCCTCACTGCTGCCCCAGCAGCTCTTCATGTCCATTTCCTGAGTCACCCACCATCAGTCTCCAGTCCCAGCTATGCCCAGGAACAACAGTACGGCTTCCTACAGACATTGCTCTGAAAAAGACTTTTCTTGCCTTTTCCTGCCTTTCCTCACACACCAGCTCACAATGCAGCACTCAGATATGGCAGCAAAGATGCGATCACCCAAACTCCTTTCCACCACAATGCCTTCAGCAGACACACAGGGAACACCACCTGAGCCATCACATAGAAGGTGTCTGAGAGAAAGTGCAGGTAAAACCAGGCAGATACGGGACAGAGGACATGTCTTTACCTGGGCTCCCCAGCAATGACCAGCATGTTGCCAAATTGCCTTTCCTGATGGCTTTCTCAGGAACTGTCTGTGTACGGGATCAAAGTACAGTGCTGGGATCACACGATAGGAAGTTACCTGGGGAAGGGAGGGATCTCTGCAGTGTTGGCATTGCAACCTCCCTCTCAAAAAGCTTTATGTTTCATGTGACTTGGATACAGAGGGGAAAATCCTGGCTCAGATAAGACATTTGGGGAGACTTTTGCGTGCCTTTCTGAGTAGTACCCATATCAGACTCAGAGCCGGATATTACCAGCATGTGCCGGCTACATTCTGCTTGCATGGTTTTTCTCTATATGTAACTGGACCACCCAATGTGACCAATATGGAAGCCAACAATGGGAGGCAATTGCATTATGTTCATTTTTCAGAGCATTTGGAAAAGGTTCCACATGACACCTGAGGTGCTTTCACATCTTCCAAGAGAGCTCTGGGAATGTATTGTGTTTATTGCTGGAGGAAGACCAAAGGATGCTTGCTGTGACATCCTCCACAGAACCCAGATGAGACAGTCAACATCATTCACATCACACTGAGAGGTCCACCCAAGTGCTCCAAAACCACTACTGTGGATTACTCAAGAAGCCCAGCGGAAAAAGACCAGAGGTTTAGGGCAAGAGAGAAAGAAAAAGAACGGATCAGGAAAAACAAACGTTCTATATTGCGATGCAGCACAGCTTTTATTGAAGTTTGAAACAGGGAGAAAATTGGAAGAAGTGGATTATGCCAACCAAGGCAATGCAACCACTGCAGGCAGTGGGCAGAACTACAAAGAGCATCAGCCCTGCCACTGGAGCAGGCACCTGGTGGGGGTTTCTGATTTCAGAGATCAATGCCTCTGAAAACAATGCTTAAGCAGGGGAGGAGGAAGGCAGAGTTGGCCTCCAACAGGCAAAAGGTGTCAAAGCTCTGAATGCCAGAAGTGCAGAAGAGATCTTCTTCTTTTGGGTATCATCATGATGGGATGTACCAGGGGTTTTCCTGGGGCTCTCTGTCATCAGAGGCGGGTCCCAGGTGTGGCTTACCAGCTTCCACACCAACCACCGAAGGACCTGAGACCACGGCCCCAGCCTCCATATCCACAGCCCCCAAAGCCTCCGTAGCCTCCAAGGCCTCCATAGCCTCCACAGCTACCATAGCCTCCATAGCCCCCGTAGAAACCAAGGCCTCCATAGCCCCCATAGCCACCAAGGCCTCCATAGCCACCGTAGCTCCCGTACCCTCCAAATCCACCATAGCCTCCATAACTGCCACCGTAGCCCCCAGCAATGGCAGGGACTCCCGCTGAGCCCACAGCGCTGTGCTGCGGGAAGGAGCTGAGGATGGGTCCGGGGAAGGTGACCACCGAAGCTGGGGGCTGGATCACCACCGTGGAGCTCTGGCACTGACGCACACAGGGCTCGTTGGTGGTGTCAGCCAGGGGGCACGGGGCGGCCACCCCACAGGAAGGGACGCACAGGCTGGAGCAGGACATCTTTCAGGCAGGTGCAGAGTCCTGGAAAATGCACCAGGGATTAGGCAAGGGTGAGGGCAAGAAACTCTGTCAAGGGAGGCAGGGAGAGATCTGCAAGAGGCTCCAAGAGCTGCACTTACCCGTTTGATCAGGAGAGTCAAGAACAGGAATCTGGATAGAGGCTGTGAATCCCTCATCTCTTTTATACATGTCCCAGACTGCCTGGGGCATCAGCCAAGGGGTGTGGGCAGAATCCGCAAATACTCATGGAAGCCAGTGGATAAACTTCATGGCACACATAATTAGACAAGTAACTCTTGTCCCTCTTTACTGGGGTCAGTGGTATGCGAAGGTGCCCTGGAATGCGTATGGGTGAAGGAATACTGCATGACACATTCCATGATAGACAAGATGCTGTTGTAGCTGACGTTGCAGCACCAATAAACACAAGACTGTCATTAGTCCCCCACTTTGCCTGACAACTTCTGATGTAGCCTGTGGTGCCCAGCATGCCCATGCTTGTGGGGAGTATGGCCATGTGCACCCTCGCTCTCTGTGCGTGCTCAGAATCATCTCCTGTATTAGCCCTTAATGTTCACTTGAGGGAATTGGGTCCCTGCAGAGAGGCCTTGAGGATGTCCACAGTCAGGGACACGTGGCCAAGGAAGCTGGGGGAGTCATGGTTCTCTTCTTGTCCTCCTGTGCCTCTGTGCATGTATCCTTCACACCCATGACCCTGCTGCTGGATCTCACTGCTCGCCTAACACGTAAATGTTGAGCTCCCAGCATATGAGTCTTCCGACACAAATCAAATGCAGCTTCTACTCGTTTCATGTTTCTTGTTCGGTAAGGACCAGTGACGCCCTGAAAAGCAAGGTCATAGAGACATCTGAGGGTTAGAGATGTTCTGTACTGATGCCCCAAGAGGGTACTGGAACGCCTTGGTCCTTCAGAAGTCGTTCCAAGCATGTGGAAAGACTTCTCTCTTTGCCCAAGATCCCCGTGCCTCTGTTTACCACCTTGTAAAAGAGAGGTAATGACAGGCGTGACGGCTGTGCTCAGGATTGCAAAGCACTTCTGCAAGGTGCCCAAGACTACAGCACATGAGCAAAGTGGGAGGATAAGGGCCCGATCGGGGTTTATTGGTGCCATGAGGTAACCTAGTCTTTATGTCATGGCGTGTCGTGATCTGTCCCTCCCATTCCCTGTTTGCTCTCCAAGGCACGTTTGCTTGCTATAATCCCCAATGAGGGTGCATACTTTGTTTCATGAGGCTTCACACTTGATTTGCTCTTTAGCTTGGGCTTCTGTCGCTGACGCTGGCCACTGCCCCAGGCAGTGTGGGACATGTATAAAAGTGCTGAAGGCTTCACAGCTCCCTATCCAGCTTCTTCCTCTTGACTCTCCTGATCATTCAGGTAAGTCCCACACATGTCCTTCTTTCCTTCTTCAGCTATGTATCTTTGTCAACATTTCTTTGCTGTCTTGTCCATAACCTTTCATAAGAATAGATAGGATGGGATGGTGCTCTTTCAGAGACAGGGAAATGTCTGAACTTTAATCTGTAGATCAGATCTATGAATCTACCAATGCACTCAAGTCCCTTGTGATGCCATTGGTTTCTTATCTGTGTTTGATGTGGGGTCTTTTTTCCTATGTCAGTCATGGGCATTCAGGCTCATAGAGCACGGAGGAGTGGCAAGGGGTTTACAGCAGCATGTCAACTGTAGCTCAGGTTTCTGCTCTGCCTGCGTAACGCGATACAGGGAATGTCCTGGAGCATTGATTGAAAACACAAGAGAGTGAGGAGGGATTTGGTATTTGGTCGTGTACAGCACCATAATTCTGTGTTCTTGTGCAGCTTGACCTCTCAAAGAGAAGAATGTCCTGCTCCAGCCTGTGCGTCCCTTCCGCTGGGGTGGCCGCCCCGTGCCCTCTGGCTGACACCACCAATGAGCCCTGTGTGCGTCAGTGCCAGAGCTCCACGGTGGTGATCCAGCCCCCAGCTTCGGTGGTCACCTTCCCTGGACCCATCCTCAGCTCCTTCCCACAGCACAGCGTTGTGGGCTCAGCGGGAGTCCCTGCCGTTGCCGGGGGTTATGGTGGCAGTTATGGAGGCTATGGTGGATTCGGAGCCTACGGTGGCTACGGAGGCCTTGGTGGCTATGGAGGCCTTGGTGGCTATTGGGGCTATGGAGGCTATGGTAGCTGTGGAGGCTACGGAGGCCTTGGTGGCTACGGAGGCTTTGGTGGCTGTGGATATGGAGGCTGGGGCCGTGGTCTCAGGTCCTTCGGTGGTTGGTGTGGCAGCTGGTAAGCCCCACCTGGGAGCAGCCTCAGACAACAAAGAGCTCCAGGAAAGCCTATGGCACATCCCAACTTGACGATACCCTAAAGAAGAAAGCCCTTTCAGCACTGCTGGGATCCAGAGCTTGGACACATCTTGCTTGTTGGAGCCCAGCTCTGCCTTCCTCCTGCTCTGCTTGAGCAATCTTTCAAGACTTGTTACCGTCTGCTGACACAGAACCGCACTAGGTTCCTGCTCCTGCAGCATGCTTGATGCCCTTTGGAGCTCTGCCCACTGCCAGCAGTGCTGGACTGACCTTGCTCAGGGCTGTGCTCTTGTCCCAACTGCTTTCCCCCTTAAACTGCAATAAAAGCTGTGTTGCATCACATTGCTGACCTTTGGTTTTATTTGATTCTTCCTCCATACACAATATCCCATGTGGCAATATGGTTTCCCATGATATCCCCTAGACAGTTCCCACCCATGACCTTTTGAAGGATACCTTTGGGTGGTGTCTGACTACCTCCTCCTTTCCCTCAGAAACCACATGTTGCTACATGAGGGCTGACGAGAACAGGGACCATGCTCATGTTCATGGACCACAGCTAATCTTTCTTTCCCTCCCAGGCTTCTGCCATCCTTAAGCTCCTGCACTGTGCAGCTCAAAACGAACTGTTGGGACCAGCAGTGAATTTTCTGCCCACTCTGGCCATTTCCGTGAGCGGCCTGCAGCTCCAGCTCTCATGGGACTGGCATAACAATGAATCCATCTCAAAGATAGTCCACATCAGTATCACTTGTGGGAATACAGGTCAAAAGAAGAGTGTCACCGATTACCAGCCCTTCCCAAATCCCTTGCCTCCATTGTCTCCACATCCCTGCAACCTGGCACCATGTTCACTTACAGTGTTTCTTCATCTTCTAATATTCCTCGGAGCACTTTTGGCCCCATCTGCCCCTCACTGCTGCCCCAGCAGCTCTTCATGTCCATTTCCTGAGTCACCCACCATCAGTCTCCAGTCCCAGCTATGCCCAGGAACAAGAGGATGATTTCCTACACCCAGTGCTCCAGAAAAGACTTTTCTGGCCTTTTCCTGCCCTTCCTCACACACCAGCTCACAATGCAGCCTGTGCTGTCTAATATGTCCAATAGCACTCAGATATGGCAGCAGAGATGCGATCACCTATAGTCCCTTCCACCACAATGCCCTCAGCAGACACACAGGGAACACCACCTGAGCCATCACATAGAAGGTGTCTGAGAGAATGTGCAGGTAAACCCGGGCAGATACGGGACAGAGGACACGTCTTCACCTGGGCTCACAAGCAATGACCAACATGTGTCAATTTCCCCTTCCTGATGGCTTTGGCAGGAACTGTCTGTGTACGGGATCAAAGTACAGTGCTGGGTTCACGCGATAGGAAGTTACCTGGGGAAGGGAGGGATCTCTGCAGTGTTGGCATTGCAACCTCCCTCTCAAAAAGCTTTATGCTTCATGTGACTTGGATACAGAGGGGAAAATCCTGGCTCAGATAAGACACTTGGGGAGACTTTTGCGTGCCTTTCTGAGTAGTACCCATATCTGACTCGGAGCGGGATATTACCAGCATGTGACAGCAACATTCTGCTTGCATGCTTTCTCTCTATATTTAACTGGACCACCCAATGTGACCAATATGGAAGCCAACAATGGGAGGCAATTGCATTATGTTCATTTTTCAGAGCATTTGGAAAAGGTTCCACATGACACCTGAGGTGCTTTCACATCTTCCAAGAGAGCTCTGGGAATGTATTGTGTTTATTGCTGGAGGAAGACCAAAGGACGCTCGCTGTGACATCCTCCACAGAACCCAGATGAGACAGTCAGCATCATTCACATCACACTGAGAGGTCCACCCAAGTGCTCCAAAACCACTACTGTGGATTCCTCAAGAAGCCCAGCGGAAGAAGGCCAGAGGTTTAGGGCAAGAGAGAAAGAAAAAGAACGGATCAGGAAAACCAAACGTTCTATATTGCAATACAACACAGCTTTTATTGAAGTTTGAAACAGGGAGAAAATTGGAAGAAGTGGATTATGCTAACCAAGGCAATGCAACCACTGCAGGCAGTGGGCAGAACTACAAAGAGCATCAGCCCTGCCATTGGAGCAGGCACCTGGTGGGGGTTTCTGATTTCAGAGGTCAATGCCTCTGAAAACAATGCTTAAGCAGGGGAGGAGGAAGGCAAGAGTTGGTCTCCAACAGGCAAAAGGTGTCAAAGCTCTGAATGCCAGAAGTGCAGAAGACATCTTCTTTTGGGTATCATCATGATGGGATGGGCCAGAGGCTTTTCTGGGGCTCTCTGTCATTAGAGGCGGGTTCCAGGTGTGGCTTACCAGCTTCCACACCAACCACCGAAGGACCTGAGACCACGGCCCCAGCCTCCATATCCACAGCCCCCAAAGCCTCCATAGCCTCCAAAGCCTCTGTATCCTCCAAAGCCTCCATAGCCTCCACAGCTACCATAGCCTCCATAGCCCCCGTAGAAACCAAGGCCTCCGTAGCCACTGTAGCCCCCATAGCCGCCAAATCCTCCATAGCCTCCAAAACTGCCACCGTAGCCCCCAGCAATGGCAGGGACTCCAGCTGAACCAACAACGCTGTGCTGCGGGAAGGAGCTGAGGATGGGTCCGGGGAAGGTGACCACCGAAGCTGGGGGCTGGATCACCACCGTGGAGCTCTGGCACTGACGCACACAGGGCTCATTGGTGGTGTCAGCCATGGGGCATGGGGCGGCCACCCCACAGGAAGGGGCACACAGGCTGGAGCAGGACATCTTTCAGGCAGGTGCAGAGTCCTGGAAAATTCACCAGGGATTAGGCAAGGGTGAGGGCAAGAAACTCTGTCAAGGGAGGCAGGGAGAGATCTGCAAGAGGCTCCAAGAGCTGCACTTACCCGTTTGATCAGGAGAGTCAAGAACAGGAATCTGGATAGAGGCTGTGAATCCCTCATCTCTTTTATACATGTCCCAGACTGCCTGGGGCATCAGCCAAGGGGTGTGGGCAGAATCCGCAAGTACTCGTGGAAGCCAGTGGATAAACTTCATGACACACATAATTAGACAAGTAACTCTTGTCCCTCTTTACTGGGGTCAGTGGAATGCGAAGGTGCCCCGGAGTGCGTATGGGTGAAGGAATACTGCATGACACATTCCATGATAGACAAGATGCTGTTGTAGCTGACGTTGCAGCACCAATAAACACAAGACTGTCATTAGTCCCCCACTTTGCCTGTCCACTTCTGATGGAGCCTGTAGTGCCCAGCATGCCCATGCTTGTGGGGAGCATGGCCATGTGCAACCTCACTCCCTGTGCGTGCTCAGAAGCATCTCCTGTATTAGCCCTTAATGTTCACTTGAGGGAATTGGGTCCCTGCAGAGAGGGCATGGCGAGGTCCACACTCAGAGACACAGGGCCAAGGAAGTTGGGGGAGTCATGGGTCTCTTCTTGTCCTCCTGTGCCTCTGTGCATGTATCCTTCACACCCAAGACCCTGCTGCTGGATCTCACTGCTCGCCTAACACGTAAATGTTGAGCTCCCAGCATATGAGTCTTCCGCCACAAATCAAATGCAGCTTCTACTCATTTCATGTTTCTTGGTCGATAAGGACCAGTGACGACCTGAAAAGCAAGGTCATAGAGACATCTGAAGGTTAGAGATGTTCTGTACAGTTGCCCCAAAAGTGTACTGGAATGCATTGGTCCTTCAGAAGTCATTCCAAGCATGTGGAAAGACTTCTCTCTTTGCCCAAGATCCCCGTGCCTCTGTTTACCACCTTGTAAAACAGAGGTAATGACAGGCGTGACGGCTGTGCCCAGGATTGCAAAGCACTTCTGCAAGGTGCCCAAGACTACAGCACATGAGCAAAGTGGGAGGATAAGGGCCCGATCGGGGTTTATTGGTGCCATGAGGTAACCTAGTCTTTATGTCATGGCGTGTCGTGATCTTCCCCTCCCATTCCCTGTTTGCTCTCCAAGGCACGTTTGCTTGCTATAATCCCCAATGAGGGTGCATACTTTGTTTCATGAGGCTTCACACTTGATTTGCTCTTTAGCTTGGGCTTCTGTCGCTGACGCTGGCCACTGCCCCAGGCAGTGTGGGACATGTATAAAAGTGCTGAAGGCTTCACAGCTCCCTATCCAGCTTCTTCCTCTTGACTCTCCTGATCATTCAGGTAAGTCCCACACATGTCCTTCTTTCCTTCTTCAGCTATGTATCTTTGTCAACATTTCTTTGCTGTCTTGTCCATAACCTTTCATAAGAATAGATAGGATGGGATGGTGATCTTTCAGAGACAGGGAAATGTCTGAACTTTAATCTGTAGGTCTGATCTATGAGTCTACCAATGCACTCAAGTCCCTTGTGATGCCATTGGTTTCTTATCTGTGTTTGATGTGGGGTCTTTTTTCCTATGTCAGTCATGGGCATTCAGGATCATAGAGGACGGAGGAGTGGCAAGGGGTTTACAGCAGCATGTCAACTGTAGCTCAGGTTTCTGCTCTGCCTGCGTAACGCGATACAGGGAATGTCCTGGAGCATTGATTGAAAACACAAGAGAGTGAGGAGGGATTTGGTATTTGGTCGTGTACAGCACCATAATTCTGTGTTCTTGTGCAGCTTGACCTCTCAAAGAGAAGAATGTCCTGCTCCAGCCTGTGCCTCCCTTCCGCTGGGGTGGCCGCCCCGTGCCCTCTGGCTGACACCACCAATGAGCCCTGTGTGCGTCAGTGCCAGAGCTCCACGGTGGTGATCCAGCCCCCGGCTTCGGTGGTCACCTTCCCTGGACCCATCCTCAGCTCCTTCCCTCAGCACAGCGTTGTGGGCTCAGCGGGAGTCCCTGCCGTTGCCGGGGGTTATGGTGGCAGTTATGGAGGCTATGGTGGATTCGGAGCCTACGGTGGCTACGGAGGCCTTGGTGGCTATGGAGGCCTTGGTGGCTATTGGGGCTATGGAGGCTATGGTAGCTGTGGAGGCTACGGAGGCCTTGGTGGCTACGGAGGTTTTGGGGGCTGTGGATATGGAGGCTGGGGCCGTGGTCTCAGGTCCTTCGGTGGTTGGTGTGGCAGCTGGTAAGCCCCACCTGGGAGCAGCCTCAGACAACAAAGAGCTCCAGGAAAGCCTATGGCACATCCCAACTTGACGATACCCTAAAGAAGAAAGCCCTTTCAGCACTGCTGGGATCCAGAGCTTGGACACATCTTGCTTGTTGGAGCCCAGCTCTGCCTTCCTCCTGCTCTGCTTGAGCATTCTTTCAAGACCTGTTACCGCCTGATGACAGAGACCCACACTAAGTTCCTGCTCCTGCAGCATGCTTGATGCCCTTTGGAGCTCTGCCCACTGCCAGCAGTGCTGGACTGACCTTGCTCAGGGCCGTGCTCTTTTCCCAACTGCTTTCCCCCTTAAACTGCAATAAAAGCTGTGTTGCATCACATTGCTGACCCTTGGTTTTATTTGGTTCTTCCTCCATACACAATATCCCATGTGGCAATATGGTTTCCCATGATATCCTCTAGACAGTTCCCACCCATGACCTTTTGAAGGATACCTTTGGGTGGTGTCTGACTACCTCCTCCTTTCCCTCAGAAACCACATGTTGCTACATGAGGGCTGACAAGAACAGGGACCATGCTCATGCCCATGGACCACAGCTAATCTTTCTTTCCCTCCCAGGCTTCTGCCATCCTTAAGCTCCTGCACTGTGCAGCTCTAAAAGATCTGTTGGGTCCAGCAGTGAATTTTCTGCCCACTCTGGCCATTCCCATGAACTGCCTGCAGCTCCAGCTCTCATGGGTCTAGCATAACAATGAATCCATCTCAAAGATAAAGGTCCAGGTCAGTGTCACTCGTGAGAATACAGGTCAAAAGAAGAGTGTCACCGATTACCAGATCCTCCCCCAGTGCCTTGTCCCCACTGCTTCCAGATTCCTTCAGACTGTCACTATGTTCAACTGTGGTGGTTTTTTTCTCTTCTAATGTTCCTCGGAGCACTTTTGGCCCCATCTGCCACTCACTGCTGCTCCAGAAGCTCTTTCTAGCCATGTTACCCACCACACACTGTAGACCCAGAAGTTCCCCCGAACAGGAGGGCTTCCTACACCCAGTGACCTGAAAGACATTTCACAGTATCACAGTATGTTAGAGATTGGAAGGGACCTCAAAAGATCATCTAGTCCAATCCCCCTGCCGGAGCAGGAACACCTAGATAAGGTTACACAGGAACTTGTCCAGGCGGGTTTTGAATGTCTCCAGAGAAGGAGACTCCACAACCTCCCTGGGCAGCCTGTTCCAGTGTTCTGTCACCTCACTGAGAAGAAGTTTCTTCTCAAGTTTAAGTGGAACCTCTTGTGCTCCAGTTTGTACCCATTGCCCCTTGTCCTATCATTGTTTGCCACTGAGAAGAGCCTGGCTCCATCCTCGGGACACTCCCCCTTTATATATTTATATACACTAATAAGGTCACCCCTCAATATCCTCTTCTCCAAAATATACAGACCCAGCTCCCTCAGTCTTTCCTCATAAGGGAGAACTCCACTCCCTTCATCATCTTAGTTGCCCTGCGCTGGACTCTCTCCAGCCGGTCCCTGTCCTTCTTAAACTGAGGGGCCCAGAACTGGACACAATATTCCAGATGCAGTCTCACCAGGGCAGAGTAGAGGGGAAAGGGGACCTCTCTCGACCTACTAACCACCCCCCTTCTAATACACCCCAGGATGCCATTGGCCTTCTTGGCCACAAGGGCACAGTGTCGGCTCATGGTCACCCTGTCGGCCACTAGGACCCCCAGGTCCCTCTCCCCTACACTGCTCTCTAACAGGTCATTTCCCAACCTGTACCGGAACCTGGGGTTTCCTGCCCTGCCTCAAACGCCAGCTCACAATGTAGCCAAAGCTGCCTAATTTCTCCAAAAGCAGTGATATATGGCAGCAGAGATGGGATCACCTAAACTCCCTTCCACCATGGTGCCCTCAGCATACACACAGGGGACACCTCGTGAGCCAGAACATAGAATGTGTCTGAGAGAAAGTGCAGGTAAACCCAGGCAGATATGGGACAGAGGACATGTCTTTACTTAGGTTCCCCAGCAATGACGAAACTGCTGCAAATTTGCCCTGGAAAATGCACCAGGGATTAGGCAAGGGTGAGGGCAAGAAACTCTATCAAGGGAGGCAGGGAGAGATCTGCAAGAGGCTCCTAAGAGCTGCACTTCGCTGTTTGATCAGAAGTGTCAGGAGCATGAATCTGGATAGAGGCTGTCTTTTGCCCTTTTATACATGTCCCAGACTCCCTGGGGCATCAGCCAAGGGGTGTGAGCAGAATCAGCAAGGACTCATGGAAGCCAATGAACAATCTTCATGACATGCCTAATTAGACAAGTAACTCTAGTCCATCTTTACAGGGGTCAGTAGTACGTGAAGGTGCCCTGGAGTGCATCTGGGTGAAAATTTGACACAGCACATTCCATGATAGACAAGATGCTGCTGTAGCTGTCATTGCAGCATCAATAAACACAGATCTGTCACTAATCCCCAAGTCTGCCTACATGGAAGAGTCCCAGGCATCTATGAGAAGATTACTGTCATATAGCTTGTCCACAAGTAATCAAGAAGAGAAGCATGCAAACTTCATGACGCAAGCATGAATGTGAAACAATTATATGCCATTTAATTATGGAAAAGTTTGTGTTAAGAAAGAGCTGATAGGAAGCATAAACTGTGACACATCGTTCTATGGAATATGGCTCTATTATTATTACTGCAATAGCAGCTGTAAATCCTCA